AAAAAAGTAGCTAAAAACCTTATAAGCGCGTATACCTTTAAATAAAAGGATTAAAATAAGTTTTATATTTAAACTTTCGATATAATCTTAACGCTTTAACTCTTTATAAAAGCCTAGCCGATAAACAACCTTTTTTTAACGAGGTTGTGAATAAGACTAAGTTGCTTTTATTTATATAAAGAGTTATTATATACGAGGTTAAAACTGGGTAATACGTTTTTATTAATAAGAAGAAAAAGACCGTTATTACAATAAGCGCAATAGTTCTATACAGTAAAAATAAAAAAGGGTTTAAACATTTTCGACGAAAAAAATAGAGAAAAGATTAATATATTATAATATAATGCACTAGGGCAAATTGCTAGTGTAACTATTAATTACATATAGCCAAAAAGGTATTTAACTTATTGTCACGGTGAGCATACTGGTGAGCTGGGACATGGCCTGCAGCAAGCAGCTATTACTCTATTGACGAGAATATCAAGACTAGAGAGGAAAGAAAGAGAGAGAGAGATAGGTACAGCGGGAGGTTGCTCCTTTAAGGAGATTCTCTGGTTAGATCCTTCCCTTATTGGGAAGTATCGGCTTGTCATGTGGGAAGGTCTGTGCAGGCCGTCACACTTATATAAATAACTTTTAACGTACGGATATAAAGGAAAATAGTAGATTTAAATATTTAAAAGCTATAATAAGGTTTAAAAACGTCGTATATATTAAGTAAGAAAAAGTTTATTTAAAAAGAATGCGTAATGGTTTAAAAACCAGGCTATATATAGTTAATAAGTGAGGTTAAGCAGAATAAAAACCCTGATATAATAAAATCTTTCCTAATTACAATATAACTATTTCACAATTATCGTAAAACCGGACGAGAAATTTATCGTATAAACCATTAAATACTTATTAATTAATTAATATTTTCCTTATATCGTATATATGATATCTTTTTAAAGCCTTATCTCTACCTTTATTAGCTTTTCTTTATTATTAAGCTAGCGAAATTAAAACTTCGACTTCACTTTTTAATTAACTAACGCCGCTAATTTCTAACATTAAGCCTTAAGCCTTTATTAACTTTTTTAATAACAGCTTTTCTTAAAAAATCGTTTTAACCTAATTATCTTGGAAATATCATCGGTATGAAATGTTTTTTAAATATTAAAAATATCTTACCTTCTTAATAAAATCGATATACAGAATGGTTTTATATATAAATTACAGCCGTTTTTTTAAACGGTTTATAAATTATATGTATAGAGATTATGTAATCAACTTAATTACTTTTTTAAAAAGTTAGAAACGCTCGTTTAAAAGGCCTTTTTTATATAAAATATTTTTATAATAGTTAGAAAAGGTTTGAAAAAGTTGAAAAGGGTATAAAACCTGGTACAATATTTAAACGCATTGATAGATAACGTGAAGGGTTTTTACGGCGGTTTTATATTAAGTAGTAGGCGTTTATTACTTTATTTAAGGTTATTAGTAAAAGGGTAATTAATTTAAACGTTAAAAAAGCTCAAAGGTTTATTTTAATATAAGTTAGCTTTTTTGTGCAAGTTGCTTTTAAGAAGTTAATTACGATTCAAATTTGAATAAAGGTTTTTAAAAAGTGCTTTTCCGTAACTGCTTACACATGCCGTCAAAGCTGTTACATGTCTAATAAAAGAAATACTATACGTTAATAATCGTTAGAAAACTATAAATAAGCGTTAATTTAAAGCAGTATAAAGGTTATCAAAGCTTTAATCAAAGGTTTATTATTTTAAACGGTGATATTATTTTATGTACTTAAAATAAGTATAGGGTTTTTACTGGCTTATTATCGGGGTTTTTTATTCGAGTTCAAATAATAAAAGACTGAAATTTAAACGTTTATTATAATAACGTAATAATACCTTTATTTACCAATAAGTTATTATCGGTTAAGGTTTATTAGGTACATATGTTGAATAAATGTAAAAGACTTAAGCATTTGTAAACCTAATAAAGCGTAAGTAACTTATTTAATAATATTTAAAAATACCTGATTTGTTCTTTGGCTAGGGTTTTTATTTTATTTTAAAATAAAGCTATTTTACGTTTTTAAAATAACTAGGACGTCAAAGAGGTTTGAAAAAAGTCTTTTTAACCTTTTATAAATAACGTTATTATTGGATCCATGTGATTCCACAGTCAAACCATCCATACAGAACCCATATGTATGATTAGATAAGAGATTAGATACCAGATTGTAAGGTCACTTAGCCAGACCTTCAGGTCCAGCTAGACTTCCCAATCCAATCATCAGCGACATCATGACCTTGACCCAATACTCGAGTATTATGATTGATCGTTCAAGCCTGTTCCAACAAAAGCTCTTTTTTATTGTTTAGAATAACTTTTTAACTAGTTAAACGCTACACGCATTTTTTTATTTAAAGTAATAGTATAAGTTTAAACACTTGTTTAATATTTTATTAACCTTTCTATTATTTTTAAACTTATAAAGCTTAGATATAATTAATTAAACGAGAGTTTTATGATAAACATAATTTCATTAACGGATTACTTAATTTATTTTTTAACCTTATATTTATCTAAGGCCGTTCAAATTTACATAGCATAAAATAGAACTCGTTGAAAAAACTCCCGTATATTAACAAAAACGGTGAAGGTTTAAGTTTTAAAAAAGTTATTAATTATTAAAACAATTGATATAAATATACAATTTCTTGAATTACCGTCTAATTTTTAAATAATAACTTTATACATAATCCGTAACTTTATTATTAGTATTTTAAGTGATTATTGTAAGAATTCGTCGTTCGAAATATTCGGTTCATAGGTGCGTGTCTGTTTGTTGTTCTAAGTCTACCTGGTTCGGACGAATTCACACCTAAATACTGCTGCAGCGCGTCTATCCGCGGTGGTAATGGAGCTGTAGGGCCACCATCTTACCCACAGCGTACAGACCACCTGGTGACACACACTGAGCCACCACCACATCCGACAATTATATCGAAATTCGATACGTATAATAGCTTTTTACCGATGATTTTTTAAAGAGGTTTAAACTAATAAGGTTTAAATAAATAGAATATTTATTAAAAACTAACATTTAAAAACCCCGATTTATATTAAGATTCTTTCAGGTGGTGTATTACGTAAATGTTTTTTATACATAATAAATAATCATCGTTTTATCATACTTTTAACGGTTTAAAGCTATAATATATTTAAATGTGTTTTTTATATTTTATATAACGTAGGTCATTAGCGAGCAGGACACATTTTGTTGAATAGGAGCCGGAGATAGATACTAGAAGATCTCCAGTGGGGCAGAGATGCACAGGGCATCTGACCTACTAAGAAGACAGATAATCAATCTCTGCATACAGAGCACAACAATCAATAGAATCAATTATCATCAGTATATTCAACACTTTTACCAGCCTCCCAGCCAACATGTTAAATACCTTCACCACACCGCATTCAATTCAAATCAATCAATTGGATTCCTTTTCCTCAGAGGTTTTTATCTCTATTGCATAAGTTTGTGCATTATGGCCAGTGTTGCCGCAAATGCCACACCGTCGCTCACGCGCTGCCGCCTTCCTTGTACAATGACTACCTTCAACTATTTTATGTCTTGCCAGCTCAGTATTATCCTTTGTAGCCTAAAGACCTATTGTATTTTCAACAGAAAGTACTCCTTCTTCTACCAGACGTTTATTTTTTGTTTTCTGATGTTTATTCAATAAGTGATTGGCCTCCTCTAGCTCGCGGACCCGGGAATCAACCAAAACGACCTTGTGTATAAGACCGTATTTTAGCCTTCGAAAAGAAGCTCAATGCATCAATTATTGTTGAATACACGGATGTTGATGGATTCTATTGATTGTGTTCTTCTGCTTCTTCAGTGTGCAGAGATTGATCATCTGTCTTCTTGGTGGGTCAGATGCCCTGTGCGTCTCTGTCCCACTGGAGATCTTATCTCCGGCTCCCATTCAACACATATGTGCTAGTATCTAACAATTATTGATGTAGGTGAGCTTCCCTGGTGGTTTCTGACTCGATTTCGGATATAAACCGATTGGTTTACCGCTTCGCTAATAGTAATAGGCGTCTTCGAAGTCCAGATAGCGGCTGGCAGATCAGGGTTCAATGACGGAGTTCGTACGACAGCGACAGCATCCAGCTTTGAAATGACACTTTTTGGGTCAAAAGGAACATGTTGAATACACGGGTGTTGTCAGATTTGAGCCAATCGTCAGAGTGAAGTGTGTGTGTGTATTCCGTCTGTCTAGAGTGTCCTTGTGTGACCGTGGCAGTTTTGCGCCAGAAGGGGCTGGATCGGGACGGAACAACTAGGTTCCGTTGTCTACCTGTCAAGGTGCCTTCTAGGCGTACCTTTAATCCAACACACACACACCTCACTCTGACGATTGGCTCAAATCTGACAATAACAGTGTCAAGTATTTCTTGCCCCTGCCCTGCCATGCCTGTATAACACCCCGGATAGTACCTGAGATAAGGTGCCTCACTGCACGAAACCCTTGTCTAGCGCGGCTGGCATGACAGGGCTAGATGTACTCCTCACCCATCTCCATCTGGCTACAGTAGATGGCGGTGTCGAGGATATTTGGTGTTGGCAGCCATGCAAGCCTGGAACCTCCCTTGAAGATGGCAGTGCTGTCGTCTCCTCGAGTCCTCGACTGACTGGGAGGAAAAGATGCCAGCCTAGATGGCCATGAGGATTAGGATTTTGGTGTGATTGACGTATGGATCCGGATCGCCACGTCCCCTGGCCCTGGAACGATCTGATGAATGACCGGGCTAGATGGGCGTGACGATCTGGAATTGACTGTGGTTCCCGTATGAACCCAGATGCTTTCGTTCTTAGTACTGAGATCGTCGTGGCAGGGCGGCCCGATCAGCGCTATCTATGCACGGAATCTCCCGACCTTGGGCAATAGACAGGCCCTACAGATTATTCTTGATTCAGCAAGCACGAGGCCCGATCACATAGGACCCATTCTCTTCATACACGCAATCGAAGGTCCCCCTCCCCGCCTCGCCAAGTATGGAGAAACCAGCCCACGTTGATTTCCTTGAAAGTCTCGCACATCTCGTCTTGCTTCTCCCAGTACGGTACTGGCTATACTGCTCTGCTGTCCACCTCCGTCTATACCGTCGTTAATGGGTTCTGATCCCAATCTGCCGAATAAACGACGTACGGTATGGCGCAATAGGCTCGAACTCGGACGACTCCAGCACGTCGTATATAGCTTGCTGCGACTGCCTCCATTCATCCTACGAGTCAGAACACCGGTCAGCGCATACAAACATGGGCGATCGCCAGGACGAATCGCGACCAAAACTAAAAGGGGTTGTGTTGCTCGAAACACCCTCTCCAAAGTTAGTCCATGCCTCCTGGAACATGATAGCCACATCGTTCTCAATGCCGGCCCGCAGCGCGTTCTCCAACACGGACGGCTCGAGACATAGGGGATAGTAGATCCGCACTATGGCCTCGCCGAGATCCCTCTTCGTCTAGGCCAGGCCGGCGTTCATCGGATCGAAGCTCTTGGAGTAGGCTAAGCAGTCGGTGTCCTACAGCGGGTACGAGAAGCCCTGGAAGCCGTATGTGAGCGACTGGCCGCAGCACCAGTCCGCGAGAGGGGTGTCCGTGATCGAAAGTGTTCTTCAGGAGCGCGTGTGTTCCGTAGGGAAGCATGAGGGTAGGACGCCGTTGCGCGTAGGCCATGGTTAGGGCTTGGCCGAGGCTTGCGCACGACGGCAGTGACGCGAAAGAGTGAATAGTGAACATGTTTTGGTAGGGTCTAAGTGAGTCACTATAGCTGATGCTATAGAGACTGGGACCTTCTTCATTATCCTCCTGAGAAAGTGCAGGACGGGTGTTCATACGTCAGTGGTGTCGCGGGAGGGAACCACTTATAAGCACCTCCAACCTCGACACTTGGGCGCGTCAGCTTGGCTGAAGATGAAGCACGTGTCTCCGCACAACGTCGATCAGGGCTGATGTGGTATCGTCTGTTTTCGTGACTAACTAGAAGCTTCCCGCCTAGCAGTGCAACACTAGGTTACCCCAAGGGACAAGTAGCTGCATGTAGTACTGTAACTACACCGATGACAAGTCGATCACCTCATGGCGTATCACAACGCAGTCTGTAAGCGGGGTATCCAGAACCTCACTCTGCTGCTTTGCAAAAGCTGACACTGACTGGACCACGGTACACCGACGTTGTGGGTATTCACCTTGGAACCAAAGATGGCATCGTTTCATATACATCTGCTCTGTTGGCTGTCAGTCGCACTTTGTATCAGTGCCCAAGTTTACACCGGTCCGGGAGACCCTCGTCTCGTCGAGGCGATCACGACGGATCCTCCCATCAACCGCGTCAGCACCTCGCCGGGTGGTCGTCTGTTTGTACCGTATGCCCGTATCGACGGCTCGACAGGTCCGACGGTGGTCGAGTATAACTTGACCACCAACGCCACTACCGCATACCCCGATGTGCGCTGGAATTCGTATCAGCCGGGAGACGATCCAGCGACGGCCTTTGTGCGTATCAATTCGCAAAGAATCGGACCAGACGGCTGCCTATGGCTGGTGGACGTGGGCTCCCCGGGTTTTGGGCAGGCGGTCATCCTGCCTGACGGGCCGAAGCTCATCCAAGTCAATGTGACTACAAACGAAGTCCAGCGGGTGTACCCTATGGGCAACGTGACTCGGTCCGTCAGCCTCCTGGACGATGTCCGCTTCAACCTGGCAACAGGCAAAGCTTACCTGACCGACGCCGGGTCTCCCGCCCTCATCGTCCTGGATCTGGGCTCCGGCATTGCCAGACGCGTCCTCGACAACGATCTAAGCACTCGAGAGTACCTCCCCATCTCCGCCGAAGGAAGTCTCTTGACGAATGCGTTCCCTCAAGGTGGCTTCTCCTTCATCTACGCCGACCAACTATAGGTCTCGCCCGACGGGACATACCTCTATTTCCAGCCAGCGTCGGGTGGAATGTCGCGCATCAAGACTACGTACCTGGACCAAGCTTTCTACAACTCGTCACTTGCCGAGGGGCCGGAACTTGAATCTTACGTTGAGCCTTTTGCCCATACACCGTCGACGGGCGGGACGGCGATCGATGCTGCTGGCACGGTGTACAACAGTGACACCGACAGCCAGCGGATCATCGCCATAGCACCTAATGGGACGATGGCGACGCTGGTCCAAGACTCAAGATTGTTATGGGTCGACGCTATGTGGATTGACACCCGGCAGAGACTATGGCTGCCAGCCGCGCAGTTGAATAGGGGTGTGCCATTTGGAGACGGGACCAACCGAATCGTTAAGCCATTACTTGTATTCACACTGCAGTTGGATGTTGGACCACCGGCCAATGACCATGCTTGAGGTGCTAATCATTCCAGCGTTTGGCTACACTCATTAGTCATTGGGCCAAATGAGGCAGCAAACAGGCTGTGCTGATCGGTGTGCAGGTGTAGAGGGCGAATGACACTAGCTGGCGGATACATAGCCAAATGAAAGCCGGTTCAACACAGTGGGAGGTCCAGCTTAGATGTCAAAGATCAGGTGAAGTACTCGGTGAATCAGTCGTCACAACAGCGGTGATCAATCATGGCGAACACATAATAGCATATGGCAACGAGTCACTGACTGGAGGTCTGTGATTTCCCTGCTCGTTTGGGGGAGCAAACAAAACCAGAGCCCAGTATCAGGTATAAAGAGCAGCCCGATGCAACACTCTTCCCATCAACCATCAGCAACCTTCACATCACCCATCAGCATCCTTCCCATCAACCTTCAGCAACCTGATCGTCAACATTCAGCAACCTGATCACCACCTGCTTCGTAGTACTCATTACGGATAGACCGAGCATACCTAACAAGAATGCTGCTCTTCCCATTCATCCTTGCCGCCCTGGGCCTGGGCGTGAAAGTCAATGCCGCCGGGAATTAACCTAAGACCTGCACCGGTTCCAGCCTCGACTACATTACCCCGAGCAGCGGACTCTATGGCATCAGAGCGAAGTGCACGCCAGCTGAAGGCGATCCCAAATGCACCATCCTGAATCTCGACTCGTGCTTCGGTGATGACAAAGGGGACATCGTTCCGCAATCCAAGTAAGTCATATTCACAGCATCTGAACCACGGGGTTTTCTTGAATGCGTTCATGGCTCATGTGGCTGTACTTACATAGTTGCTTATCATAAATCACAGTGGCTATCTCCAGACCAGCTACCCTTTGAACTGCGATCATTGCCAACTTAAGGGCATTGTTCTGTCCTGTACATGCGACACGGGCAGCGGAAAGGGGGAGCGAGGAAGACGAGTTCTATTAACACCAGTAAGTCCTCTGCTACATCCAACTCATGAAGGTTCGAAACTACTAATCATACTCTTCACAGATGAGCTCATCATGAATGATGACGGACGGTTGAGATGCTTCGATACCTACGCTGATGAGACCAGTGGCTGTGTGTGATGTCGAGGATACCTGCTCACGTATCGGCTAAGTGGTTGCAGCTGAGGAAGTCGATATTATCTGCTGTTAGACTCTAATCAACATGACATTTTCCTTGCAATACTCAGGACATTCACCTTCCACGATGACTGATGTGTCTGTTGAATGGCAAGTAAGCCACCGTGGCGTCGGGGAGGTGGTGTCAAACAGAGCGTGGGGGCATTTAGATGGGTGAAAACGTATATTCTGGTGTAATCCATGTTCTTGTTGTATCTGTGAAAATCCTTCTGTGGGCTAAGTGGCTCAAAAATGCCCTATTGGCCTTGTTGGTGCACTGCCATCTCCCTGAACGCCACAGTGGCTTGCGGGCCATTCAACAGGTGGCAGTGCACTGATCAGGGGCCATTATGCCTGGGGCATTTTGGGGCCAGCTAGCCACTAATAGAGACTTCACAGCAGATATATCAGAATCAGCACTGAATGCATGAATATTAACCATATGAATCATCTGCGGACTGTCTGACAGTGTCTCCGTGACCGTATGAGTAACAAGTATAAGAGATATTTCCGCCAAGCAATGGACGATACAAAGGCCTCGGACTAGCCAAGACGATCGCTGCTGGGGGACACGTAACACCCCCGTCACCATATATAGATCGGAAAGGATGAGTCCCCCAATGACAACCCTGTATCAAAAGACTCAAGTTGGAATACTCCAGATGCCTTTAAAGTGTTAGCGGACATGTACCATCCCCCACCTGGTACTCGGACACCCCCACTACTCGTACAGCCAAACCCCACCATCACCACCTAAACTCCCACATGTTCACTTATACGGATTCGGCTTGATATTGAAGCTATTTAGAATGTAATTACTTCTCTAGATAGCCCTGATCTTAAAGTTTCTTCCAATGCAAAAATTACCCCGCGCGGCCTACGTGATTGGCTGTCTATTACCCCGCGTTTCCTACCCCGAATAGAGAAATTTGCAGTGCTTGAGCCTCGTTTGAAGCCTTGTTCTGTATGCACCACAGCATCGTACAGCCGCCAAAAATGCCTCCCTATTCGTATACGGAGGATCACATGGCGAATGCCATCTTAGATATCACGGATAAGGGCCTCTCGCTGCGAAAAAGCGCTCAAAAGCACGGCATCCCTGCCACGACGCTCTCTGACCGACTCAACGGCAAGCCCTCGAAGTCCGAGGCCCATATACAACAACAGAGACTCTCCCCTGCTCAAGAGAGCACTATAGTCAAGTGGATTTTACGTCAGGAGAAGCTGGGACTAGCCCCTTCGCACTCCCTGGTGCGTGAGATCATCCTGAAGGTGTCGAAAAAGAACGGAGATTCACGCCCCCTTGGAGACAACTTCATCGCCGGCTTCAGGCGCCGCAACCCCCAAATAAAGACCAAAGTTGGCAAGCGGATGGAATCAGCGCGCTTTAAGGGCTTTACGCCGAAGGCAGTTAACTGGTTCTTCGATATCCTGGAAGATTACGGCTGGGTAAAGCCAGAAAACACGTACAATGTCGATAAGGGCGGCATTATGGCGGGTTTTGGTAGCTTTACCTACCCTTTTAAATCCACAGAAATTCTAATTATCTTCGCAGGCATCGATTCTCTCGTTCTGGGTAGTTCTATTACTAAGAAAGCCTTCCTAAAGAGCCCTTAGGGCTGTAGCTGGACCTCCTTTATCGAGGCCATCTCCACAACTGGAAAAATCCTCAAACCAGGTATTATCTTTAAGGGGAAGGACCTGCAAGTGCAGTGGTTTATCAAGGAGTTCCAAAAGACTGCCGATTGGCATTACATATGCTCAGAAAACGGCTAGACTTCGAATGAAATAGCCTGCCAGTGGCTAGAAGATGTCTTCATCCCGCAGGTGGACGAGGTACGAGGAAAAGACCAGGCCGAGCCTGTTCTTTTGATACTAGATGGCCATGGTAGCCACACCTCCGTACGTATATGTTTTTTCCTTATTCTACATGGACTTCTTTCATTTTTCCCCGATTTAATAAAGGCTAACGCGTGTTATAAGGACGAATTCATGACCATCTGTTATTTTGCCAACATATTGCTCTGTTTCTTCCCTGCGCACACTAGTCACGGCATGCAACCCCTGGATAACGGGCCCTATAACGCCCTGAAGGCTCACTACCAGAAATTCCTCTCCCAGCTAAATTCTCTGACGGACGCCTCGCCTGTTAACAAGATCAACTTCATTCGGTACTATAGCCAGGCCAGAGCTGCTGCTTTTACTAAAGCAAATATCCTCTCTGGCTTCAGAACGACTGGATATTATTCTATCAGCCGCAGGAAGTGTTTAACGCACCCAGAAATCCAGGAAGAGAAGCAGAAGACCCCTGAGCCTGAGACCCCTGAGAGCTCTGAACCAGAGGACCAACGGACCCCTACTACGAGCCGCCAGATCATGAATTTCGGCAAAAATAAATCCCCTGGCACCCGGCTGAAGTATAGGAAGATAGCCACCGCGTTCGAGGCTAAGGATACCGACCTTGTTATCAAGGACAGGAAGATCAAGGCCCTGGAGGCTGAACTGGAGCGGCTACGGCCAAAGAAGCGCCAGAAGATCCATAATCCTAACAAGAAGTTCAGAACAGTCACAGAGGTACTAAGTAAAGGTGGTAATATCACCCCTGGTGTCTCTGCGGATGTACCAGAAATTGTGGTTGATGAGGACGAGGAAGAAGAAGAAGAAGACGAAGACTCGGCTGAAGAGCCCGTTTTGGAGGCCATACAGGAGCCTAGGCACACCCGTTCGGGGCGAGCCATTCGGGCGCCCGCACGCTTGTACGAGTAAACAGCCCCACCGCTATCGAATGATAATTTTGCTGAATTTTTCCGATCTACAAGACTTCATTTAGGTGTGGGTGAATAAGGGGGTGTTTTGGTGGTGGATGCGGGGTTTGGCTGTACGAGTAGTGGGGGTGTCCGAGTACTAGGTGGGGGATGGTATATATATATATATCTGCTACATTCACAGCTATTATTATACTACACGCCGAAGCCATGGAATGTTTGCCCCTGGGCTTGTCCAAGGTGCCAGGGAACTGCGTGTACCCTTCAGATAACACGACTGGGGGAACAACACACATCTCGACATTGATTATCCGGCAGTCTCACGGTTTGGCTCTTCATGGATTCATATTGAAACGCTTCATTCTGCATTCTTACTACTTCTTCCTGCTCTCAAGTGGATCTTGAATAAGCACACCGGCAAGAAAGTATCACCACGCGGCATTGCTATGAGGCTGCGGAAAATAGTGACGCCCCATGGCAGCGGATGGAGCACCTGGTCACATCCGACAATACGGCCAGCTTGAGGATTACTGTATTTGGGATGCCGCAAGTCCTCGCCGGGATGCCTTGGAGGTATCAATTCGCAATGTGACAAATGTTCCCTGAATATTGGGAAGCGCCACGACATCCGTCACGGCATATGTTTGCCACACCGCTGTTTAGTGTGCGCGCCAGCAAGCCGCCGATATCGGAAGGGATCACGAAGCACCTGCTGGTTAAGGCAGCTGCAGAGTGTATCGAAATCTCCGAGACACGTTGAGATCTACCTCGTGGTAGTACATGAGTATCCTCTTTTTTACAGGGCAACCACACATTCCTTAGTAAGCATGCGTCCTATCGCTACCACTCGTCAGTCCACCGGCACCACGGCCCTATACATCCTAGGGAATAGCGAACATCTGGAGATTTTTGTTCCATGGCTCCTTGCCTACCTTATTCTGTGTCGCATGCTTACTGCTGTACGCTCTTACATCGCCATTTTGGTGCCCAATCTAACTCTCATGGTTCAGGGCTACCACCGTCCTGGGTCGTCGTGAGCTGTTTTCGCAGCAAGAGTTCAGCCGCCAAGGACCACCAATCGGTCGCTAAATTGTCAGTCCACCGAAATATCCTTCATGGTTAACGCTGTCAGCCAAGGAATTCCGGCACAGTGCCTGTTTCTTTGGATACCGATCCCTTGTTGATACTTAACGGGAGTGTATGACCATCAGCATGGAATGTCAAGATATACCGATGTGATGGGTCGTCTGACCATTGTGGCATCCCGCCTAACCCACAAAAGGAGGAGCCCGCCAGGGCAGAATTTCACTCACTGCCAAAGTTCGAACTTGGTAGCTGGTTCTGGGATGACTTGGTTTACGATCTTGCTTTGCTGATGGAATTGATGAGCTGAAGTGGCCGTAGCAGTCTGTCTGGCATGATGATGAGACAAGGGCGAATCTTGAGGTCAAAGACCTGCTCCAGTCAATGAAGCAACCACAGCCTGCAGTAGTAATCTCAAAAGGCAACTGTTCCGATCCCATCATCTCCAGACGCTACTCCTCGATTAAGTGTGGGTAAATGTTTTCTTAAGAGCTAACAACAAAAATTTTCTCTAGACGCCGTAATATGCTATGGGACACGTATTGTGGGTTCTTCGATGTAGAAGACAACTCAGATGCTTTCTTCTTCACATGCTGCCACTGCTGGTTCGTGGGCGGCCCCTTGGTGATCCTCAGGGCCTGCCAGGGGCCCCCTTGGCCAAGACAGGGATGGAACTCGTTGCATGACTCCCATCCTCATGACGTAGGAACAGGTGAGCCGCATCCAACGAAACCTCATGTGTGCGGACTCGGATAGAACCGATATAACAGGGACCTGCAGGCTCGGCCACGCACTGCTACTGTAGCTATCTTGGCTTGGGATCGCATGGAAATACGACGCTATGTATGCCAAATAGAGGCCGACGCCGGACTAGGAGATCTACCAGCTGCCGAATATCGATGTTTCCGTGCCGTACCTGTTACAGGTTCTGCCGCCTCCTACCTTGCAGCACGACCGAGCTGCCTAATGAGGCAATAGACGAGAAGCGGATTGGAAAATTCCAACTCTCTGCTGTTCAGCTCTGCAGGATGCAGGTGCCTGACTTCTTTCTTCCAATCGGGCTGTATCCGTCGAGTTAATCTCCTTGCTTCCAGAGAGACTATCTGGCTGATCAGCCCTAGCACCTACCAGTAACCTATCGCCAACCGAAATCAGGAAAATTAAAGGCTTCACATTTGGCGCTCACAAAGCACGTGGTGGTGGTGTGGGGCCTGTGCCGCAAGAGTAAACTGCATATCGCGTCGGCCAGCAACTTGATGAAACAAGAGGTGCTGAGGGAACAGTTGGAGTCAGATTGTTACTGTCGCGCATGGCACGGCTGCTGTCAGAAAGGGGCCAGTCTTGCTGAATGGCAACGATGTAAGGTAGGTTTTGTCGTCATGCTACCACAGGGCTGGCCTGAGATGTGAGTAGGACCATGGTCACCGCTTGCCACCATTGGGAAGCTGCAAGTGATTCTGTGTCACCCTTTATATAAAGGGTGACACAAAATCATCTCAGGCCAAGAGTTTTGACTCCAAATCTCATCTTGTTCCTCCTATACCACATCATTGCCCTCGGGTTCAGCGGAGATTCAGCGCACCAGACTATTACACCTGGCACCTCGCTACTCAAACCCCATATACGTCTACCACCATGGCAGTGACCACCCTGACTGTGGAGAGACAAGCCAAGCTTGATCTGCAACAGAAGAAGAGGCCTGTGCGGCGAGACAGTGGCTACCAGTCACCCGACGACTCGCCTCTCTTGACCGTCCAGCTCAATGACGGTAACGAGATCCCCCAGATCGCCCTCGGCGTCTACAAGGCCCCCAACGGTCAAGAGACCGAGGATGCCGTGATAGCCGCCCTGGATACAGGCTACAGACACATCGACTCGGCGGCCAGATACGCCAACGAGGAAGCCTGCGGTCGCGCCTTGAAGAAGTGGCTTCAGAAGACGGGCACACCTCGCAACGAGGTGTTCGTGACAACCAAGCTGTGGGACGAGGACCACGGCTACGAAGCTACGCTCAACGCTCTCTGCGACTCTCTGCGCAAGTTCCAGCTCGACTACTTCGACCTCTACCTCCTACACTCCCCATCCGACGACAAGGAGAAGCGCCACCAGTCATGGAGGGTTCTCGAGACGGCGCAGAAGCTGGGCAAAGTCCGCTCCATCGGAGTCTCCAACTTCGGCGCATCGCACCTCGACGAGCTGCTGGCCGAGACGAGCGTCGTCCCGGCCGTCAACCAGATCGAGGTCCACCCCTTCTGCCAGCGGCAGGATCTCGTCAACAAGTGCCGCTCGCACGGCATCGTCATCGAGGCCTACTCCCCTCTCGCCCGCGGCAACAAGCTCGAGGATGCGCGCGTCCTGAGGATCGCCGAGAGGAACGGCAGGACTCCGGCCCAGATCCTCATCAACTGGAACGCGGCCCGGGGCAACGTCGTGCTACCCAAGTCGTTGACGACACACCGCATCAAGTCCAATATGGAGTCGATGGACTTCAAGCTCTCTGCTGAGGATATGGCGGAGATCGATGCACTTGGTGCTGAGAACTATGTTACCGGTTCCCTGCACCGATCTGAGGACTGAAAGAGGCTCTTGGGCATAAGCGCTCACATTCACCATCTTCTCACCTGAGAAACGAAGACATTCGAGCACGAGTTCCGCCTTGAAAGAGGTTCCATCGGCCTTGGATTTTCCCATCAGCACTATCATACCCTCAATCACTCCATACTTTCCGATCTCCTCATCCCTTAGAAGTTATGTTTTGCATGGGCAAGCGGGGCCTGGAGCATTGACTTAGCTGAAGTTTGGATTTACGACGACACGATATCATTCGCGGTACGGGCTGGGAGCATAGATCATAGATTCGGAATCCATATCTTAGACATGATTTAATGAAGCATCAAAAGCCGTTGCGTCTCAACTTTCTTTGTCCCACTAAAACACCAACCCCTATTTCAAAGCACCACACCAGTCACTACCACCCCGCCTCCCTCCAAGCGCCATTACCACCGCTCCCGCCCTCTCCCCATCCTACCTAGTCCTCACCAATATACCACTTAATGTTATGACCCTGACAAGTCATGGTCCCCTCCGCCGCGATCCCTCCCCCATGCAGCCCGCCGAACCGGTCTATCGCCCCGTCAATAATGTCTAGGATATCCTGGTTAGCCATACTGAAGCGAAGGTCCTCCGGCTCGCCGTCGCCGCGCGCGACGCTGAAGGCGCAGGTGTAGGCCAGCACTGGGCGATCGGGGGTCAGTGATTGCTCTCAATGAATACTTAACTGATTAGGTGGAGTGCGTGGACTAGGGAGTAACTATAGGTGCATGTCCTGGGAAGCAGAACGCCTTTCGACACTCTTTCGACCCTTATAGCAACAACACAACGCCTAAGAAACGGACCAGAACCGGAAACGGGAACGGGAACACGCGATTCTTCAGTGAGGAGGAATATCACATACTGAGATGATGCGCCCCCGCCGGCTCGCCCGCAAAGTCGACACCCCAGTCCCCCGCGTCGCTGTTCACCCCGAAGCACGTGTCCTGGCATTCGCTCGTGGTCGGCGCACCCGTCGTCGCCGTGGTGGTGTCGTTGAATACCAGAGGGGTGCAGTAGCCCACGATGGACTTGTCGCCGTCGCAGTTCGTCGCTACGGTGGTGGCGGCTAGGGCGGCGAGGGTGGCGAGGAGGAAGGTGATGTGCATGGTTGCGGTGGTGGTGTTCCTGGTCTTGCTGGTGGTGCCTTGTTGAAGGGGTAGGTGGGTTCAATGCGCTGAAGCCGAGATGGATGAGCTGCTGGAGTCGTGAACTGTGAGTTGATTCGTGAGTTGACGACGACAAGAAGCCCAGAACCCAGAACAGCGTGCCATATCAACCCTATTTATACCCTCACGAGTTCGGAATCACAACTCTCCGCCGCCAATTCCCAAGAAGCCAGTTGTGCAACGCCAAACGTGACGGGCACCATGATCCATCACACGTCGTACCAACTGTGACCTTGGCGACAGTATCTGCCAGTAAACCAACTGCGAACGAACTGTGCCGTTGAGACTTCCAAGCATGACCAAACCAGTCACAACCCCCCGGGCCAATGGCGTGGCCGCAGGGGGCCGTAATGTGACACGGCGCGATCCTGCAGGGTTGTCGCTACCGTGACTTCGTGTTCCCAACCCAGCAGATTGAGATGATATCGATGTTGTGGAATCAATTCAGGCTCTGCCACAACCTTGAGCAAATAAACGATGTTTTTTTTTTGGTGGCTCATGGCTGAACTCTGTTCGTCTTCTCCCTCAACCTCAACGCCACTAGCGATCTCGCTACCGTGATTCGCTGCCCAGTCTCTGTCACTTAACTCCCAACCCAGTGAATCGTCCGCGTGACACAGACGATCCTGTTGCTCGCTGCTACTCACCCACAGGTACTCACCGACTCGAGATCCTCTTGGGGCCGTGGATGATGGACATGGATTGGCTGGTCCTGACTCTTGGGGAGGGAAGACGTTGGTGATCCTCTGTGTGGCGCTGTTACCTGCGCCGCAATGGTGGCGGCGACAGGTCCGAGTGAGAAGCCGGGTAGACCGGAGGTTCAGTCAGCTAGGTAATGTTAGCGGATGGGCCGGGAGATCTCCCTGCACGGTGAACACTGATCTGGTAGAGATGCAATCACAGGGACGTGCTAGATAGGCATGAATGCGGGTTCCGGGGATTCTAATCCATTAATCCTCACGACCACATACGTCGGGAACACGAAATTTCAACGATACTGGGGCCGTGTCTGGTCTGAGCAGCTGTGTGATGGGAGCATGTATGGTATTGATACATTACAGGTACGAGCATGAATACAACGCCACTCCCAGCCAGGTGATCGTCACTCGTCACTCGTCACTCGTCAGCAACTACCTCCTCAAAGCAACCGAGGTACTTCCAGGTTGTGCTCTAGCTGGAGCTGCTATTCCTTTCCCCTCTAGCAAGCTCGTCCTCCAAAGCCAGCTTCTCGCACATGGCACAGTTGGGTTCCCTTCTCCTCTCCTTGACCGTGTCGCAGTCGTTGTTCTTGCAGGGGAGGCGGCCGGTGTACGGCTTGCAGCCGCACTTATACGTGATGATGATCTTGCACATTGTGGCGAGTGTTTGGGGACCAAAGCTCGGGTGGTTGTGTTGGTTTGGTTTGTTGGCTCGCTGGTTGGCTGGGGACTGTGCTGAGGCTGGTCGCGAGATGCTCGAGTTGGTTGGAGTGGCAGTGTCTCGGTATTGGTTGCGGCTGAGTCACGGAGGCGCTCAGGTATGCGGTGGATGTGTTGTTGGTTAGCAGCAGGGTGACTGACAGAAGAGCTGGAGGATACGGTGAAAGTGTTGTTGGTAGGTAGGCGCGTTATAGGGATCCAACGAAAAGGGTTTGAAGATAGATGTTTGGCGAAGCTCGCGTATGACAACGTATCTCATTGACTTGGTGTTTTTGTGTGTTGCACTTTGCCGCGCATTGACTCCAGCTGACACGACAGTTGTCAATGAGTTGGGCGTCTATCGTATTCGGCACAATGGTATATGCTCTCGTATTGACATTCCCATCCAACCACAATGGTGTCGGAATTGCAGGTATGTGTCGGGCAGCGAGCAGAGGGCAGAGGGCAGAGGGTGATGGTTCTTCGTGCCCATTCACGCAAGTCTGGGTTGGCTGATTATCTGGCAACGCGCCAAATCTTGTCCAGAACAACCGGGGGGTATTGACAGGTCGGCACCCTCCTCAGCTTGTTGATCTCCTTCACCTCGTAGTAGCAGTTGTCACAGAGTACCAGCTCCGGGTCGCGCTTGCCCACGATCCCGTCTGTGCAGATGCCTAGCTTCCCCGATGCCCTATTGCCGCATTGACATTGGCACTTTCGATCTTTGGGCTTTGCCATTGGTAGGTGTATAGCTGGAGAATGGACGAATGCTGTTCGGTAACTTGGGTAGCTGGGCTTGGTGAGGAGGTCGTTGCAGGGAAAGCGGTCTCGGAACCCGAGACTCGACATGGCCTTCGGTAATGGACTGTCCTTTGTCGTTGTATGATTGATGTGATGAGGCATGTGCACAAAGGCTCCAAGTATCACGATTATCAAAGGCGCAGATCTAGTTCAGTGAATGTCTCGGCGGCCATCGCAGATCGTAGAATTTACAACAAAGAAACACTAGACGCGGCAACCGTAAATCAGAGAACAGACAACGGCACCATCCGTCAAACCTCGAGGGCCGGCCCGTGATCGTCATAGATCGGGTCCCTCGTAAACCACGGTAGCTTTCCGATACTCCGCACCTTTGACTCCTCCCCTTTCTTGCCGTAGCACATATCCCAATTGCAACCCTTGGGATAGCTGCCCACCATCTGGAAGCCGCCTCCTGTCGTGAGGTCCTCCAGCAGCCTGTGGCCTACTCCGGCGGGAATCACAAGCACGTCGCCCTTCTCAACCACCTTCTCGACTTTGCCGGAGTTCTCCTCGCCGCCGAAGCACAGCTTCGCCTTGCCGTCGCTGACGCACAACACCTCGTGCGCCGTGGAGTGGAAGTGCGTGGTGCTGTACATGGTGAAGCGCCATTGAGGCTCCACGACCCCGACCGAAGTGAGGTGTGACTCGATGGCCGAGGCTGTGATCGATGCCGGTGGGAAGGCCGCGTGGTAGTGCAGAAGAGGCTTGTTCTGGATGCTGGTGTTGGGTATGAGATTGTGTGCTGGGATCTGGTGTCGGGAGACTCGTAGAGATGCCAATGGATTGGGCGCCATGGTGGTCGATAAGTTACTGGCAAGCCTTAGTGCCAGAGAAGAGCTGGGGAGCTGGGAAATTCGTAAGGTTGATTTTAAGTCGCGCGTGGATGTTTCGTCGAGCTCGAGCGAAAGTCACATCATACCGACGTCATCAAGACTCAAGACTGCAGTGGCCGTAGCAAACTGGATGAGCGGTGCTGGGTATGTGAGGTTTTGGGATCGCGCCGCAACGGCTTTGCGGATGGTGAGTCGGGTATGGCAGCACAGGAGAATTATGGCGGCATTGAAATGGAAGGTTTTGCGTTGGAAAGGGTTGAGGGCATCGTACAGCAGGACGTCGAGGTGCTACATATGGGTGTGGCTTAGTACTGCCGCTTGCAAGCGAGGTGTCCGACTCCACCTTACATTTACACACACACACATACAATTCTTAGCTGGCGCCAGACAACCTGAAGTAGAGCACTAGGTAGATCGGATACTAGGGAAATAGAAACTCCCATCCTTTGGGCCATGTGCACCCCATTGCCAGCGCAGCTCGCATCCCCGCTCGCCCGTGAGGCTTGTTAGACAAAAGCCAGGACTGAGGGAGGAGATCTTGCGTTCCCCCTCTCTACTTGGACACGCATTGCGACCCATCTTCCAAGCTCAAGCGAATTCAGTAACTGGGATGTCGAAGTCGTTGTTAACGGAGCTCAGGTAGCCCGAGGTGCCCGCGGCCGTGTCGTTCATCCCGCTGGCGCCGACGAAGGTGTGCTTGACCGTGTAGGTCTTGGCGGTGAAGTTGAAATGGATCGTGGCCCAGGACTCGACGGGCTGCGGGTGCTCCCACGTGCACGGCACGGTGGGAGGGCGCAATTCGCCCGTCGCGTCGTCGATGTAGTGGTCCGCGCTGATGGCGGACGCGGCGCAGCTGACTTCGAGCTCGGGCGCCCCTGGGAGGTAGCCGGCCTGTGCAAAGAGGCTGAAGCTCCCTCCGTATAATTCGTAGCTGTAATGGTTCTCGACGTTGGTCGCGGTCTAGGTGTAGTATATTTCTCGGTTCGCGAGCAGGGGGCTGGCGGTTGCGAGGACGGCGAGGCTCGGGATGGTGGCTAGGGACGAGATCCGCATTTTGTAGGACGAACTGGGTGGTATGATTTCAGGGGTTGGTGGTTGAGGATGTACTGGTTGTTGGAGGTGGGTAGGATCTGAGGATTTTGGTGGTCTTGTATTATTCTTTTTGGCTCTCTTAGTTGGCGGCCATCCTTTCACATACCTCTTGTTTCTGCGCCCCCTTTCTCCAACCGCGGTCTTGAAGAGGCCTCGTATTCCGAGGGTGTTGGCTCGGCCGAGCATCAATTTGCGTCGTGGCGTTACTCGACTCAGGTCACTAGGGGAAATGTGCAGAGAACGTCCAGTCAGTTCGGCGAGTCGCTGCCGACCTCGACACAACGAGTTGTTCAGCAATAGTAAGGATGGGCTTCCCGACAAAACTCGCCAATCGGCTGACGGGCAGGCTGCAGGTTGCGTATGGGTTATCAGATCATTCAAGTTATCAGATCATGCAAGTTATCAAATCATGCAGGCAACAAGATCAACGGTCATGAGGATTTTCATATTTCCGAGGCGCCGGGAACCAAGAGACCCACGACCCCTATCCACCCCTTTTGTGATGCATGCTTCGGTCAAGAGAAAATAATAGAGAATGTCATGTGGTATCAATGATTTCTAGGGCCCTGGTCGGCTGCGGAGGATGACCTGTCAGTATTGAAGACGTTCAGTCAAGAGTGAGCGGGTTGTCTGGAGCGTCACTGGAAGTGAGACACGGGCAAGTCAAGGGAGACGAAGGGCGCAGGGTACCTTCCGTTATATTTTCCGGCTGGATGAGCAATTGAAGGATGCAGATGGTTAAACTAGCACGGACAACTCACCAGTCATGTGTGAGTACCCGTCAGTCACTGACAGTCAGGCTGCCACTATTCAACACATCGTTACGATGAGGCCTTTATTCTCACGAGAGTGGCGGCGCATACTCAAACCCCTCCGTAGTATTGCGTGCATGGAAATAGGAGGATGGTCATCGAGGTCGTTCAGGAGATCATTCAGGCAGAGGCACAAGAGCACATAATCTGGGGTGAGACAATATGTATTGCTGTAGCGTTGGTGCTAGATCACAGCATGACGCCGACCCTGCTGTCCTGCAACTGAAGGCAACTGCTCAAGTCGCCATGTGTCAATCGGAAGTCGCAAATCGTACCGACCAGACAACCAGCCTCATCGTACCAGTCCTCAAGGCGAAGTCGATGGAGCATCTACATCTTGTCAAGACGATCCTGCGCGCTCTCCTTGGCCTCATCCGAAACTCGAGGGTTGTTGAGGGTACTGCATATGAATCAGCATAAATCACGACGGAAGTATAGCGAGAGGTAACTTACGCCTTGAGGCCACGAGCGACGTTGGCGGGGTCCTTGCCAGTGTCATCACCAGTGTCAAGACGATCCTGCGCGCTCTTCTTGGCCTCGTCCGAAACTCGGGGGTTGTTTAGGGTACTGCATATGAATCAGCATTAGGTATCCAGAGTCAGGTGAGCGTGTACTTACGCCTTGAGACCACGGGCGACGTTGGCGGGGTCCTTGCCAGTGTCCTCGCCAGTGTCCTTGCCGGTGTCGTCAGACTCCTTGGCAGTGCTGCCGCCAGTGGAGGAACCTGCCGAGTGTTAGCGACTCCAAAGTGAACATCTGGTCGGGATATGAAGCCACTTACCGGTGGTCTCGTTGTATTCCTGCTCGAGGACCTCCTTGGAGTGCTGCTTGGCCTCGTCGGAGGTGTTGGGGTTGCTCAGGTTAGCCTTGTGGCCGGCGATGACACGGGACTCGTCAACCATGGTGATGGACGTTGGTTGGACGAACGATCTGAGTGAGTGGCTGGGTTTGTGTGGATGGATGAGTGAACGAGGTCTCAAAGCTGCGTGGCAGGTTTCTGGTTGTTGTTGTTGTTGTGGAGGATGAGAGTGAAGAGGGATGGAGGTTGGATTGCTGGAGATGTTCAGCTGCTCGGGTTTTTATACATGGAGGGAGCTGCACTAGCCGGAGCATTTGAAGCCTGGCCGGAGCATTGGCGAAGGCGAAACCAATAATCATAATTATGACGAAATCATCAGGCAACCGATCTGCAGGCAACCACCTCAATCTTGAATCTTTGAAGTTTGGTTGATGACTCTGGAAATCGGGAAGGTGCAGATGTCTAGCTGGCAGCACGTCGGGTATGTATCAGGAAGACGGGAGCCCCACAGCATCACATGCAGCACCATGACGTTCGCCAAACGGAAAGAACCTTGGAAATGCAAACGGTTTGAACAAATAACTTGCAGTGGAACAACCAGTGGTTCAGTGGCGATGGCAGTCAATTACATGCAATTTTGATTCAACGCTAGGAGGTCTAGCTGGTTTCACCTTTTGGCAGATGACCAAGATATTAGAATTGGCAATACCGAGCGACCTGTTCATGTTGAAGCAATGCAGAGAATCAGGATACTCTATCCATTTACCCCAGACCGAAGAGGTAAGAGGTCTTCCTGGTGCAACGACCCGACACTCCAACACTCCAAACAGAACCCGTGACCTGGCCGGGCCATGCTGGATCAAGCACAAGCACGTCGTCCAACACATGTCTCAGACATGCAGCTCAGATTCCATGTCATAATTGCCCTTTCAATCGTCCTCACCTCTATAGACATTTGTAGGAGAATAAGTAGTCCTTGCCGGCAGAAGGGGCATGTGAAGTAATATGAGTCCGAGCCTGGGTCGTTTGATAGTAGCTTCAGCCAGTCATCCTAACGAATATCACGTTGCAGGATATAGCATTGATGGAGACGTATCAATTCCGATTCCATACCTGGGGATACCAGCGTAAGCTACGAAGCTGTCGTCTGCGGCGTCATACCATATCCGTATCTAGTATATGCTCCTCCTGACAATACAAAGGCTCATATGTGTCACCTTCTGATCTTAGCTTCCACTCATCCATGAGCTCTTCGGCAGCACGCTCGTCGTGTCTCATTCCCGCCTGCAAGCTGTTCTGTTATACTCAGCTAGTCCGTGACTTATCCCTTGCATTGTGCCTCAGCAACCTGGTCCTCGGAATGATCGCATCTGTAGCTACGTAGAAAGACGAGGAGACCATGGCCCGGCTACATGCGTGCCCGGTAACTTACTAAGTAGGTGACTCAAGTCGCTGAGCCAGATCTCTCGTGACTTTCCGATATTTGGCTGCCTGTCTCGACCACGAGAAACTGGTTCCTGCCCGGCGGGGATCAATGAGGCAGGTCATATTCGTGCTGCCTTCCGAATCGCCTTGCCGGCGAAATGGATCCCCACCACCCCAGCATGCCAACTGCCGGATTATGACTTTCGGTCTCATGGTTCACGTTTGAAAGACGCCTTCTCTTGAATGAAAACACCAGTTTAGAAAACGCGTGCGGACAAACTTAAAATGCCACCAAAGTGTCAGTAGGCAAGCCACTCGAGACCAAATTTTTTAGACACAGCTCTAGCTCTCGACTATTCGAAGCGTTGATTCACCCTATCAGCCAGTGCTTCCATTGAACCGCCTACCGCATCTCAACATAACAGTCAAGCATGGGTCGTCGCTCTCTTTTAGCGCCGGGAAACATGGGCAGCGGACTGATACGACAGTAGCGTGTCAGGTAATATCAAGCCTTTCAAGCCGATCTTCCTATCGCGGAGGTCTCTACTCTCCCAACTCGAATATGCAAGCGGCTAAGTATGAATCTCGTAGATTGACGGCGGGACTTTACGATAGAAATAAGGATGAGAAAGGAGAAATTCCATAAACGCTGGCGAAAAACAATCACTATATAGAATGTAGTTTCCAAGCCAAACCCATTGATATCACCCCACCAGGTTTCCTAACAGCTCTTAGACAGCTCAAAATACGCCAATCGAGCATGAGTTCAACCATCGAAGGCGCCCTGCCTGCCTGCCAACAGAGTCCATATAACCCAAGCTTCCCTCAACCCAAAACCGTCTCGAAATCAATCCTAGTGGCCAGCATATGCGGCGCAACAACACCAGTAACAAACAGCCAGCCCTCACGCTTGCCATCATTGACAGCCGGATCAATAGCAACAAGCACCCCCGTAGTAGCCCCCCTCATCGCCGTCCCATCATCAGAGAATATCAACCTCGCCGGATTCTCCAGACTCCGGGCCTTGTCCTTGCCCGCGACGGCCGGTAGGTACGCCACATGACTGCTGAGCGGAGCCTTCCCGGTCGCGTCTCCGTAGTTGTTCACGAAGTCCAGGCCGCGGCCTATGCCCGGGAGCAGGTACCCGCTGTAGTCCTTACCCTTGCCGTCGAGGCCGGCGTACGGGTCCGAGAAGTACTTTGGGTTGTCGACCACAGAGCCTGTCTTTACGTGGTGTGACACGACGACGGTGCGGTTCGCGGGGTCCGGCAGGCCGGCGAAGTAGATGCGTCCCCCGATCGCGTCGGAGATGAGCACCTGCTGGCGGTCGGGGCCCCAGCCCAGTCCGTTGTTCGTTGGGATCGAGTCAAGACTGACGGTCGCGTTGACGTTGCCCTCGTCGTCGAAACGCACGTGCACGAGGTCGGTCCAGGCGCGCAGGTCGCGGATCAGCTCCTCGACCAGGCGCATGGGGCCCTCGCGGTAGTAGTGGTCGTTCGTGACGAGGAACTCGTGCTCGGAAAGGGCCAGCACGTCGTTGGGGGTCCGGATCTTGGGGTGCGAGATCGACCGCAGGTGCTTGGCTGTCCGGCTTCCGACAGTGTGCGTGAATACCTCGATCTGCGAAGCTGCCTTTGGCTGCGTCGACGAGCCGGCTTTCCATAGGGGGTTGGGGAGGTGATTGATGGCGAATACGTAGACTGTCTTGGGGTCTGAAGCTGATGAGAAGACGGAGATGCCGTGTGCGACGAAGGGTCCTTTGAAATTGCTCAGTGTGAGCTTTTGCGATCTCATTGTCTGCGTGTCGCCTGTTAGCCGCTAGCCGACACCAATTATCTCTGTAGACTTGCCTTCGGGTCAATCACCACCAGGGTGCCATGGCTGGCCTTTTCCGGGTGGTCCAAAGCAGTGGCCCTATTCGCATGGTCAGCCTATGCCAGTATTCTCAGTGCCACGCGGGATGAATCTACCCCGGGAACCATCCGGCCATCTCTTCGATATCACCCGAACAAGCCGAGTAGAGCATCCCAGACGCCTCGTGGTAGTGCAAGTCCTCGCAGGCGACAGTGTCCGGGATGACCCGGTTTTCGATGCCGTGGATATTGACCCATGCGTCGCCGTGCGGGCGGAAGAGGCCCATCACTTCGCACGTGTGCTTGACGGGGCCGTATACCAGTGCGGCGAAGGCGCCGAGCAGCGTCATCGCCAGGGAGAGGAGGAGCACCATGTTCGTTAACGTTAAATACAGCGTGCGGTATATCTATAGGGAATTGAGAGATCAATCGTCTCTAGTTGTGTCTTGCTGACATTGATGAGAGACGAAGTCGAGTATCGACGAGGTGGGGAAGCTCGGCGCGACGGCAGCCTACGTCACGGCAGCTGTGCCGCGGTGCCGCAAGGATTCCTGCGTCGTATTGCATCCTTCAGGTACTCCGATACCTCCACTTCATGGTACCTGGAGTAAGCAGACAGACGCGGATTATTTCTATGATTGCGGTTGCTTCTTATTAGAATATGAGGCAGCAAGGTCGAACACCGCAGCATATAAAAGTGTCTTTTTTTTTGGAACTTTGCACTTCATTCAGCTCGAGTGTGCGCTTCTGAATCTGGTAACAGAACAAGCAGGCAAGTTGGCGACACGGACCACTCTACCAATCACCCCTGAGTTGGAAAAACAGGGGAAGTGGCTTGAACTTGGCTTTTGCCGATACTGTCTTACAACTCTGCCCTCCCAATTACACAACTCTCTGCAGAACGTGGTACAGGATTTTGCTCGCTTGAGAGGCATCGGTGCCTTGTCTGCATATGTCCAAACACTTTATCACAAGCTAATATAGACTTACAGCGTCTACCATCATCCAACAACATCCATGTGAGCGCACGTGCTGTTTGACTACATGTTCTGATTATGACTGGCCACCCCAGAAGCAACATCAGGCTGGGACTTGAACCGATGCATCACTTGCAGCCCGTAACTTGCGGGCTAGACCGTACATATATGCTGTTGGTTCTAACACGCATGCCTTGGCTGAAATGTGTTACACCAAGGCTCGGCCCGTTAAGGCTGAAGAACCTAAGGGCTCACGTTCATGATGCAGGTATGGCGGTTGGCCCCATTGTCCAATCATTACACCCAACCATTCGAAGTTCTTCGCCCCAAACTCCGGTCTCCCTTCAATGTTGCTCTTCTACACACCTAGGTAGGTACCATACGCCAAAAGCCGAGAGTTACGGAGTGATGGGAAGTCATGATCGCAAAGGCGAGCCGTGTATGCGGCGAGAGCCGCTCATATGTTACAGATCTAATCCGCCGTTTACGTAAGGTAGGGACCATACAGCCATGATCGCGAACGATACTGGGGTGACGTTGCGGATTCTTGGGTCTACGAGAGACGGGAAGAAGCCTCACCGCTGGAGCAGATGCTGCGGACTGATATTCCGCGCGGGTGCTATACCTCAAACGAGCAAGCTGAGAGGTGTGTACTCTATTGACTATCTATAGCGAGACCAGACTCGTTATGCAGAGTCTGCCAACCGCCAGACCTTCAATGAGGGACATAGTCAGGTCCCTCAGCCGCATACAAACTGGGATCACTCTTCGCGCACAGCCGCCCATCCTCATCCGGATACCCATCAAAGCTGCGAACCTCGAAGAACTCGCTCCCGACAGCCGTCGCCGCCCAGAACAGATTGAATGGGTCGTAGCGCTGCTTCAGGGCGAGCAACCGAGGATAGAAGCTTCCCCAAAAGGACCACTGGAAGTTCGGCTCAAGGCGATCGGCCTCATTGAGATACGCTCCAGATCCGGGGGTGATATCACGCCAGCGCTGCATTGCGCCATTGGTGAAGTTCAAGCGCTGAGCTACGAGCTCGTCGGCCGGCTGGGTGAGGTCCTGGACGATGCCCGTGATCATGTACCCGATCGCCTCGCGCCAGCCGGGGTGGACGGCGTTGTCCTGGACGCCGTTGGGGCCCCAGCTCGGATGCATGTTGTAAGCGAACAGTGCCTGGCCATCCTCCACATTCTGCCAGATGGCTTCGAAAGTCTGATTGAATATGGTTGGATTCGCCCAGTTTTGCCACGGGAACAGCCGAGAGGCAGTCACGACACCGACATTGATCACGGCTTCGACTGGGAAGGATGCTTTATAGGCGTCATAGAAGCCGTCAAATTGCGTCCAGTTGGGAGAGATGGGGATGCCGAGCGCGTCCATGTCATCCAGGAACGGCTGGAGTGCTGCCTGAGCCTCTGCGATGGACTTGTTCGGGGCGAAGAACGGCGACATGGTGAAGGAGATGTCACCTGCGACGTTGAAGACGTTCCAGTACGAGTAGATCTGCGAGTTGGCACCTTCCGGGAACCACTTCCAGTAGGACTTCATGCCAGCTTTGAAGGCGTCAGCAGTGACGTTCGGGCCGGTCGAGAATGCAAACGTTGCCGCACTGCAAGGCACGTCGGGATATGCCTTGACGACGACTGAGGTGACGACTCCGTAGGTCATTCCGCCTCCGCCGCGCAAAGCCCAGAACAAGTCGGGATTCTCGTCCTTGTTGGCCGTTACGAACCGACCATCCGTGGTGACCACTTCGAAGCCCAAGACTTGATCGGCGCCCATGCCGAACAGAGGCGTCACGGGCGAGTGCCCACCGCCCTGTATCCACCCCCCCATGACGCCGACGGTCGGGCACTCGCCTCCCATGATGATGAGGCCGAGTTCGTTGGCGGCAGCGTACAGCTCGAACCCCTGGATGCCTGCGCCTGCCTTTATGGCTGGGCCGGAGTAGCTGGAGTCGCTGTATGAAGGCAAGTGCGCCAACTCCTTCATGTTGTGCGTCCACACACTGAGCGAGCCAGCACCACTCGACTTTCCGGAGAAGTCGTGCCCGGTGTTCTTGACGACCAGACGGATACCCGTGTTGCGGGCAAATTCACGGCGAGCTGGATCTGGGCCACGCTGGAGGTATTGACCACGTAGACTGGATAGCCACCTTGTGTACAGTTTCCGCTGTCGAAGACGCCTGGCGGTTGGCACGTCATGCCTTCGTAGAGGGGTGAGAGCATCTCAATTGGGTCGTCGAGGTGGAAATAGGGATCCGTCCAATTCGCCGTCATCGTCTGGCATGGAGTGCCATTCACGCCGCCCACGCTGTTGTCATAGCATATGTGTGCCTGAGGACGGGGCTTGAGCAGTGCACCGCCAGTCAGATCATCCAACGCCGACCACTCCGAGGAGGACGGCCAAGCCCCATCGCCTGGGAAGACCTTGCAATTGCCTGGGCCGGACAGAGAGTGGCTGAGAGACACATTGTGAGCAACAGTCATGTCTATCGGTGCGAAGTCGAAAACGTGTGCTTAGTGAGGTTCTTGGGACCTTTCGGAGTAAGCTGATCTTCTTCGGATGCGAACAGAGGCACAGAGCCATCGGCGTTCTGTTGGATCGTCTCGAAGATTGGCTTAATCTCTCGGGACGCCAGATACGTCAGTGGGGTAGCATTGGACGTGTCGGGAAAACGTGCAGTGATGCTACAAGCAAACCACAGCTGAAACAGAGCGGCGTAAGTTGAAGGCAGCGGCATGGTGAGCAATTAGGAAGGAATGCCATGCTGCATCTTCACTCTTGGAACGAGTGCTGCCAGACCCTTGTGAAGCTCCCATGTGCGCCCTCTGCGGCTTGATCAACTGCCGATGTGATATGCAGATGCAATTCCGGTCCTCCTCGTGCCTGGCCCGAACCTATACCTATCTCGCTTGGCACAGCACGTTACATGGTGCCATGCGGCCATGGTTGTCGCGGGGAGAGTGCGGAGTGCCTGATAAGACGCAGGATCTATAACGTCCATGGCGGGATTGTAGTCTGCTATTCTATCTTCTCCGCCTACCAGATCGCAGATGGCAGACCAGGCTTTCGGCGCCAACTTACTCGCCTCGACCTCACTGTGCGAGGGCATTTTTATGCATTCTGTATGCCCAGTTAGGGGGGTACATTGATATCGTACTTGGGTTACCATTGGGGTTATTAGTTTCTTACATGGACACCGAACTGTTTCTACAGACATCGAACCCAATCGTTCCCTTGTCGATCAACTCGAAGAAGATCATGTGATCTTCGTGCGCTTTCCTGTCCCCTTGCCGCCTTCTCCGCCACCACTTGCGCGCTTCTTGCCACGATTTCCGTCACGTTCCTTAAGGGCGGGGCTGCCGACAGAACCCTCAAGAGGCAGACCAAGCAGTTCTCGCTTCTTGAAGAACTCCCATGGAAGCTGATAGACCGTCATTTTCGAGCCCTCGCTTGAACCTCTTCTCTGTAGAAAGCCCATCAGTTGTGCATGCGAAATGCCGTCCAGGGCCAACCGGAACTTGTCTACCGCCCATTCGCTCCCGCACCGGGTGAAACGTGCGATCATTGCCCGGATCTGATCGCAGTCTCTGTCGATGCTGGTTCCATCACGTGCCTTAAGACTCGAAAGGCAATGGCAACTTCGAACCTGGTTTGACCAGAGCGGTATATTGGCTCGGGATAGTCGTAGTCGCGGATGCCCGAGTGGGGACGAGGGCCCAGATCGATGTCCTGATCGATCTCGTCCAGAGCCATTCCTTGCTGCAACACGCCCTCCAGCTCTTGCATGGACTTGACGGCTCTATTACCCAGTACTCGGGCAGCGAGTTTCTTGTGCTCCGGTCCCAATACGTCCAGTCGGGATTGGGTCTTGTTGGGTCGGGACTGGGTCTTTCTGGGTCTAGAATCAGCTTCCTTGTCGTCCTCATCCTTATCCTGGTCCTCGCCTTCGCCGGCGACGAGAGCAGAGTATTCGGCCAGCTCGGAAGGACTGAATTCTGGAAACACAGCTCTACGGACCGCATCTCGTTGATCTTCCGGGAGCTGCGTGTTGATGTAGTCCAGCAGGCGATCACGGACGTAATGCTTGGGCACGTCGGCAAGTGTGTGATCACGTCCGAGTCGGCCGCCCCTGCCGCTCACAAGGCAAGTCCCAAACGTAAACATCCCGCCATTGCCCACGTAATCGATAGAATCTCACCAGGCGATCTGACCACGTATTGCAAATGCCTTCTTGGCATCCAAGTCGGCTGCCAATGCGAGGCAGTCGATTAGCTGCGCGTTGGATTTCGATGCCTCCAAGGGTTGTCAGTTTCCAGCAGTGCCAAGTGGGGGTTTTGAGCTGCTTTACATCTCTAGGCTCCGAGAATGGTGTCTTGGGCTTTCCTCTGGGATTGCTGACAGTGCTGTCTGCCTCGAGACTTGGAGTTTCGGCGAAGACATCTTCGAAGACCTGCACCCGACGTCCGTTGGGGATATGCGTTCCGATACGGGCTACCACCGGCTTGATGAAGAAATGAAGGGATATGGCACGGAAAGCTTTTTCGATCTCGTCTTGTCGAAGTGTTGGGTCTTCGAGTAGCATCGGGTGCCATCCGGCGGGATTCCGCCCGTCGCGGTCGGAAGTGATGGCGTCGCATTTGAAGGTCTCCATGTCCTCATCGGAAAGTGCGCCATTTTGCCGTAGTCTCGCTATCAAGCGGTCCTTTGCCTCTGCCTTGCCACTGGCGAGCCCTTGCTTGTGCTCTGATTTATTCGGCGGATTGGTGAACGCCTGCTCACCTCCTTAACTTCCTCCCTTGCTCTGTAGAGGCTGTGCTAATCATCTGATGGCACTGCTAGTGGCATCTTTCACAATCAACAGGAATCTCAGGGGCCCCTCACAGTAAACAGTGAGATTGAAGGAAGGCACAATTGGTGAGACGGTTAATGTGAGTTTGGAACCTGGTGAGAACCCGAAGCAAACAGATTCGGCACGTCGCGACTCAACTGATGGCTGAGCATTGACCTTACAGTGCGAGCACAGATCCGCACTGTGATCTTACAGGTGGGTCGTACTTGCCTTGCTCCCGTATCGACGGTCTCGCAGCTCTTCCTTTTTGCTCGAGGTGATCCAGCCGTCCCAATCTTGACTGGCGCTACGCTACGCGAAGGGTCCAAGATTCGAACATCAGGGAAAAGCCGTCGCAATCCAACCAGACTGATAATTTCAACACCACCTAGAGTTAACGGAATGTCGCGATCCATGTGGCTCGGTGGCATGGATAGACCTTGGGAGGTGATCAAGAGGCGGAATAATATTTTTCCCCTCCTCCCCTTTTCCTTACAAGTACTGGCCTCCAGCTGCCTCCAGCTGCTCTCTCTTGGGGGCAGCTGACGGGTCGGACGAAACCGAGAAACCGCGGGACATGGTGTCATGGCCTTCCGCTACTTTGCGGGCACCTGGGGTTTCGTGCGCCAACTGCGTGGAAGGCTGCACCCGTGACGCTGAAATACTCCACTGTCGCACATGATGGGCATAGATCGACCCCGAATTCTCTTGCTCGGAATGCAGTGAGCTGCACCCCGAATCTACGATGGCGTTTTCTGCACCCGTGGCCGTCGGCGTGCATCGTCAGATCGATCGCCCGCGCTTAGGAGATGGGCTCGGCCCCACCCGTAATCATTATCCCAATCGTGAAATGCGGGAGGCGTCTTCCACTTCCAAGGAAGTGGCATGTCTGGGCTTCTTCCCTCTCCACCGCTCTTTCTGGTCGTCCATTGAGCCTCAGTCTCTGTCCCGTTCTTCATATCATCACTGGGATTCCTCTCCACGGCGACATTCATCCATCGTACGGCCTCATTGGTGGAAGTGCACCCATTAAGACCGGGTGCCTCATTCAAACCTCTTGTCGTCTGAAGTTCATCACCCTGGCCATCCACGATGCCTTTCCCTCCATCAACCGCGGGTGATACCGCTGGCACAAAGCCTACAATCTCAAAGAAACATGAGATCATCATCTTCTCCAGCACGGCCATTGCGCTGTACGGGTACGATCAGGGCATGATGAGTCTGATCAATACGAACCGGTCCTACCTTCGCACCATGGCCATAGCCGAGACATCACCAATTGTCGGCATTATCGTGTCTGTTTACTACCTTGGCTGTACCGTTGGTGCCGTGTTGGCCTCCTACTGGGCCGACAAGAAGGGGAGGAAGCCCTCCATCTCTGCGTGTCTGGCCACTACTATGCTTGGGAACCTGCTCATGTTCATTGCTGGACTGAGTCCCAACGGCTCGGACCCGTGGGGCGGCGCGTCCCTCGCCCTCATGTTGGCTGGTCGTGTCATCTTGGGCGTTGGTGTTGGCGGCATCGACGCCACCATCCCCGTTTTCAGCTCCGAGCTTTCCAAGGACGGTGCACGTGGACGCGCCCTTGCCCAAGAATTTCAGATGAACATCTTCGGACTCTTGATGGCATTCGCCATCAATCTACGCGTTACTATTGCCCTCGGAAAAGACAACCAGTGGGCCTGGAGGATTCCCATTGTTGTAATGCAGGCATTCCCTATCCTACTTGTCTCGACCATCAGTAGGCTGCCAGAGTCGCCCAGATGGTACATTAGCATGGACAGGAAAGACGACGCCAGGAGGGCCCTCGCCGCTCTTCATGGCGATGCCAAGGCCGAGGACATGCTCGATGAAATCCACCGAGCCCAGCAGGAAGAGAGCGACGAGAAGATTGGCTACATTGATATGCTCGTGCCAGGTGGCAGCCAGTTCCACCCCACCATGCTCGCCGTTATGGGTCAGGTCAACCAGGCCTTGACTGGTTATGGTGCCGTGTCAGTGTACGGACCTCAAATCTTTGAGTTGCTGGGCTTCGGTGTCCGAGAGGCCGAGTATGTCACTCTTGGCAACTACATCAGCTACTTTTTGATGATGACTTTAGCTTGGATGACCATTGACGTTCTGGGTCGACGCAAGCTTATGGTCTGGGGTTCTGGAGGACTGGCAACTTGCTTTGCACTGCTGACTGTCTTCGGAGGGCTTTCCCTAGATGTTGGCCACATATCCGTGCTAGTGACCGAGATCCTCGGTTCGATCACGCTGTTTGTGGCGACTGCGATATTTGGGGTCTGCTGGCTGGCAACTGTGTGGCTGATACCGACAGAGATCTATCCTTCTGGCGCCCGAGCACAGGGTAGCAGCGTCAGCGTCATTGTCTGGGGTCTTACCAATTTCACCATCACACTCATAACCCCGATCTTATTCAACAACGCCAAGTATTGGTTATTCCTCGTCTTTGCGGCAACAAACGCTTTTGCCGGATGGTGGACTTGGTGCTACTCGCCCGAGACGGGAGGCAGGAGCTTCGAGGAGAACCAAGAATTCTTCATTACAGCACGAGAGGAGGGCAGTTGGGCTGTCAGGAAGGTCGACGGCGGCAAGTTCTTGTATATTCCGCGAAAGGAGAAGGACGCCGAGGATGGGAAGGATGTTCCAAGCGAGACTGCCCCTTTGCTTGGGAGCCGTACTTGATCAAACCATTGAGGTGCCCAGAGTGGAAGATAGAGCTAGACGGTCACATGGAATCGGCGGACCCCGTCGATGGCCTTAACGGACTTCTCGCATCTGTCCATCGCGTCGCTTCGACCGGCCGGGCACTGCTATATACATATACCGGGTTTTGGACGACTCCCGGGACAATCTATACCTGCCAGCTCGATCCCACCCACCGCTGTCAGGCAAACCTGGGAAGAGCACGCCGCTGGGTTGAGATGGTTATGAGACCGCTTTGACGATCATCAGCGGCACACCACCTACACCATACACAGCGGGAGTCCAATGAAACAAATAATGCGAGCGTCTATTTGCTTCTTCTAATTTCGCTTTGCCAGCTCTAGTCTTCCGTCTCTTGATGAAAATAGCAGGCACGTAAAGAATGTGACTACCTACTGACAACGGTTAGAAAAGGATGAGAAGGGACGCAACATATGCTTGCTACCGGCTAAAAACGATATACATTGAAATGTGCACCGCGATGCATAACCCCAAGCGCCCGAACCTTACCATCGCGCAATCGACATCCATGGGACAATCCAAATACGGATTTGGCTATTTAGCCGGTCCAGACAGCGGGACCGGGGGGCGTGTAGGTGGTAGCTGTGCTCGAGTAGATATCAATCTGGTCGCGTTAGCCGGCATGCACTTCCAAAGAAGGGGCTCCATCCAGTATGCAACTCACCGTGACGCCCGGGTCAGACTGGGCAGCATAAGCCGGGATGGAGGTCAGGTAAGATCCACTAGGCGACGCGGTGCCGGAGCCCGTGACGGTGAGCTGCGCGCACTCGGGGTAGAACTGCGGCGTGTTGGCCTGGTGCAGCGCCAGCAGCTCGTGGCGGATCAGGTAGTCGCCCGCCTTCAGCGACGCGGGGATCTTGCTCGACCACTCCAGCGTCGCCATGACGAGCGCGGTGCCCCAGTCGACGCTGTTGAGCGCGGTCCCAAAAAGACCCATCTGGTCGATCTTGAACCACTTCTGCGACTTGCCGTCGCAGGCGCTGAAGCCGGACTCGCACGGGTACATCCACACCATGACGGGGCCCTGCTGGTGCGTCCACTGCGACCACACGGCTGTGACGTTCTCGCCGGCTGCGACTGTGGCGGATAGCGGGGCGGAGGTGCCGCCGTTGCAGGTCATCTTGGCGTCTGTTACGGTCATGATCGGGTTGTAGTCCGGCCATTGGCGCTGGATGATCTGCGCCCCGGAGACGGGCGAGAAGCCTTGGTAGCCTGGGTAGGTCGTGCCGCCGATTATGTAGCTGGTCACGGCGCCGTGGGCGGCGACCAGGGCGGGCGCGAGGAGGAGGGGGAGGGTGAACAGCATCTTGGCGTTGGTGTGGAGTTTCGTTGTCTGGCGTAGAAGAGAGTGAGTGGGAGGCTGATGTGAGAACGTCTTGGCAGGCAAGAAATCAGGTGGAGGACTGGCGCACTTATACTGATCGCTGGAGAATGAGAGAACCAGATACCGCGGCGAGGGTCACACCAGGTCATTATATCTGCAGAATCTGGCTATGGCCCGACTGGAGTACGGAAGTACTCTTTTGGCAGTGATGGCATTGGCTCGATAGTACTTCCCCTACTTCGGCGGCACTTGTAGATACAAGGACAACAGATTAGAGCCGATATTAACTTCAGTAAATAGGTGCCCAGCGCGAGTTTCGCGCCAATCGAACTGCGCAGCCTGCCGTCTACCGTAGCACGTTCGTGGAAGCCGTCCTATCACTCCGGCTAGCGGACCGATAATACAAGAATTTTCAACACTGGGAGCCTGGGTCGTGGGGTAGACATACTATGTTCGCTGACCATTGCCTTGGGCGTTTAATATAATAAATGAAGCCCCAGTCTGGGGAAGCTGGCCTAGTCTCTCTCATTGGACGCCCGGTATAGTGAGTTGGTCAGGTGCTTCCCCACGAGTTTGGACGACGGCAGCACAAAGTCCGGGGAAGAAGATGCAGCCGAGGGTGCCGATTGGACGAGGTTGATATTACAGAAGCTAAGCATGGGCGGTGCGCGTGATATTCACCATATCCCCATCGGCGTTATTGGTGTCGGATGGGATGGGGATCATCGTTTCATCTACGGCCGTGTCCTGGCGATATAGGCTGTATAGGGTGGGTAAGTTCGCGAAGTCGTGGAGGAAAACCAGAAGAGTACCTACCGTATCAACGGGACTACCCCGGCAGGAAGGTCATGCGGCGCCTCAGCAGGCGCGAGAGTGGAAGCTTCTCGATGTTATGAGATGGCCAATTGATAGGGATCTGGCAAATCAACACGGGTCTGGTAGGGAAGGGGGCTGACCTACCTTCGGACCAGCACTGTCAACAGCGGCTTAGCATGCGCAAGGCTATCCATCCACCACGGAAGCATCTGCTGGAGCCCAATCTCGGACGAAGGCGAGACAAGCCCTTTCGACCTCGATCCAGCGCATGTCTTGAGTAGGTCGAGCTCAGATTATGTTATGTGTGCGCAACCCGATCTGGCCGGAGAATGGTTCCCTTCCGGAACCACATCGACATTGATTGGGTGCGGCAGCGGTTGCTTGCCCAGATCCTGACGAATGTGGCCAATATAGCGAATCATTAGGGCCCTTGTATCCAGGATTTCTTTTGTCGACAATACCGCGCTGTTGCTAGGTAGGCGCAGTACTGTCTTGATGAAGCCCATCGTCAACGGAGCCCTTTAGCAGTCCTGATGGCCAGGGAGTACACTACTATATCCAATGCCTCGAGCGGCACGAATCTTCGCAAAGCGACACCGATGTGCCTTCAAGGGGCCGACATTGGATGACATCGTCTTGTTCACAGAGGATAAGATGGTCGTCTCAAAGCGAAATGACTTCACGGGCATCATGGTGCAGCCGCCCGTGATAAGTTGCAACCTCATATGATCAGAAGTTCATATAAATCAGTGCCTCCAGCCACGGAGCTGTGTGGACGGATTCGACGCCATCTTGGATCACACAGCATCCTCTCATCTTCAGTTGCCGCGTTGCCGACTACATCGAGATCTAGTGCTCCATCGCCCTACCATTGATGGCTCTATCGAGATCGAGTGCTAGAGACCTACGGGAAGCTGCCCTCTGACCGACATCTCGTAGTTGGATGGTGTCTCGATGCTCACGTGAGTCCTTTACACTACCCGACAACAGTGATCGATGGATGGGCCAACCGATGAATAACTTATCGCGTTCCCTTGTGGACTGCTCACGCCTGACACAATGATGACCTGGCCATGTCGCGCACGTAGAGAGAATATATCGCGGCGATGACCGGCTGAGGCGCCAGAGCGTGAGTTGAAAGTGTGGCATTGAGGAATGTCTGTGTGTAAGATGTACAAAACCGCGATGCGCCGCCATCATCACTCAGCCCTACCATAAAAGTCGGGCGCCTGTGCGTAAACAATCTCGATTCCCCGACACCTATGTTCCCTCGTGCATCTCTCGATGGGTGGTCCCGATTCGTGGTGTCGTGATGACCCCCCTAATCTCAGGGCCTACCCCCAGAGGTCATTGGGCGCTTCCCAGTGCCCACCCCACTGGTCGCCGTCGTAGTCGTACCTGGCGAGGGTACGCACCCACCACTGCCTCCATCCTGCCCAAGCGCGTGCGTTGAAGCCTTCGGCAAGTCGTAGTTCCTCTAACATCTCCCAAGCATACTGGTGGTTGATCTGTAGCAGTGCTGCCTTCAGTCGATCGACCTCCATGGACGTTTGCTCAAAATGCAGGCCTCGCATCCGATATATAACATCCATATGGAGAAGAGTTTCATCTCGACGCTGTCGATCTTGATATCTTGCATTCCAATCGTCTTCTCGACCTTCTCCTCGACCTTCTCCCTGACCTTCTCCTTGACCTTCTCCTTGACCTTCACCTTGACCTTCTCCTCGACCGTCTCCTCGTCGGTCTCCTCGGTCTCCTCCTCGGCCTCCTCCTCGGCCTCCTCCTCGACCTCTCCCTCGACCTCTCCCTCGACCTCCCCCTCGACCTCCCCCTCGGCCTCCTCCTCGGCCTCCTCGTCGACCTTCTCCTCGACATTCTTCCCCTCCAGCAGGGGCGGGCGGGTTGTTGGCAAAGTCCATCGAGAATTGTAAGACGATAGGGTGAGAGGGCCTGATCCGTCGAGCGTGAATCGAGAAGATGGATTGGACGGTGTTTGCAGAGAGTTACGGAGAGCCTAATATCGGTGGACAAAAGGCTACTGTCTTCGAGACGAACGAACTGTTGTTGTTGATGTTATTGTTGTTGTTAGAAGAAGGGCCACAATCTAGGGAGCCCAGGCAGTCCGAATGCCAGCATACGAGGTTGAGACGCTCTTCCTCGATTAGGTGGGCGCTTTTCAGGGAAGTCGTGTGCCATCTGTCTTTCCGAACATCTCAAGCCACTGTGCCTTCTCCAAGGACTCGGCTTCAGTGCCGCGCCATTTGCGGCCGTGGCGATGTCGTAAGCACAGCCGCTTCCCTTCGTCGGGATAGAACAGCCAGCATGCCCACTTGGCCCAGTTGCCTTCCTTCATTTGATGACGCGCCCGATGGCCAATTGTATCCTCGATGAAAGCGCCACGCATCATGGCCAAACGGGTGGGGAAGACGCAAGACAGGTAATGTGCAGTCGACGCTATATGGGGCTTGTCATGCCAAAAGAAGAGTGGTGTCAGAGAAATGGCAGTTTCGGGCTGCGATGCTGGAGTGAAGTTGCGCTTCAGCGAAGCGGTCAGGTCCCTGAGCGCAGGAAATTGTTCGACGTGGGCAGAAGTCGCGTACGACAGCATGCGCACCGAGGGGATGCAGACGTACTTGACAGGCGCGACGTCGTCCTTGTCGGAAGCCTGCATGACTTCCAGGAGCGGCTTCAGTGGGATCCCAGAAGCCAGCGGCCAGTCATGCTGCTGCACCCAGACATAGGGTGTCGTCGTCGTGCGCAGCGCCGAACGCACAGCCAGTCCGAAGCCAAGACGTCTCGCAGTCTCTATGAACGTAACTTGCTTGTCCTCAGTCTGCGACACGGTGAAGGGGACATGATTCTCCTCTACACAAGGGGACCCGTACTCGGCTTCATGCTCGCTGGCCATGAGTGCACGGGTAGCATCGTCTGGGTAGTACTGCTTCAAGATCTGTGCTTTGACGTTACTCTTGTACAACGCAATGTCCCTCGCGCCCTCGGTGGTGACTTGCCCTTTCTTCAGACGCGCATGAGGCCCGATGCGATCATAGGTATCAAAGACAACGATGATTCGGCAGGAGAGGATAACCGGGCAGTGGCTTTGGAAAGCAGAGAAGACGTCCGAGATGAGGTCCGTGGAAGGTGCTGAAGGGGTTGGGGAGGTCGTGATGATGAGAGTCAGCAGGCTAGACACCAGTGGAGACGCAGGCGCAGGCACCGCGGCTTCCGTTGGCATGGTGCTTCGAAGGTCGGACGGAGAGTCCGAATGTACTTGAGAATCTATCATGATAAGTGCAATCCATGATGTTATCTGGAACTCGTGCGTGAAGAACGCCCGTGTATCCCCAGATGTCTGCTCGTTTGCAGTGAGCGGCATTGGTGGCAGAAATGATCAGGTACGGAGAGTGGGGCTGATTTGCGGCCCCACCTGTGACAGCTGGCAGGAGAAGCCCCTTCACCCCTTTCCAGGCAGGTCTAGATTCCCTACTTCTCCCTTTGGCAACCTGTCTAGGTCCAAGTTCGGTCTTGTTCACTCCAATAGCTGGTGTTTAAAGGAAAATACTGTACTGCATAATCTCAACTGGGGTTGATTCACCACGCAAGTAACCAACTCATCTGTATTCTTCGATGGTACTAATAACGCTCTGGCTCACACCAAGTCCAAGTCCAAGTCCAAACCCGCAGTCCATCTTCCTTCTCACATTCAATCGCCAAATTTGCCCAACGAATCCAAGTTCATCTTTACTACGGAGCCGCCAAGAGCACGTTTACAGTCTCCACCCATGTCAATGCTCTGTCACAGATTGAACCGCCTCGTCCTCAATGCCTCTGTAATCCCGGATGGCAGCAGCGAGCTCTTTCTTAACAACTTCAAGCTCTTCGCTCATGGTAACCGCCTTGATTAATAACTGGTCGACCCTGCCTCTGCAGACGTTCAGATCCCGTAGCTTGACCTCTAGCTTGAACGGCACGTATCTCTCAGCTGAGCCAAGCGCGTTATCGGAACAATCAGAATGTGCTGAATGTGAGTAAGGCGCATATGGAGACGGTGGTAGAATTTGGTTTGTGCTCCGATCCTTCCCAGCGCCCTTGGGCAGTTGAAAGGACACCGGGCCTTGCTTGCTTGGTGTTGGTGTGGGAGGTCTTTCGGCAAGCAGAATTTGTTGAGGTGGCACCATGCTTTTTTAAATTCCGGTGGATATATCCTGCGTGCGTTGTAGGGAGCTCCAATACAGGTAAATGATTCATCCGACTCTAGACTACTGTCCCGAAAGCTACTCCGGGGCAGCAGATTCGATGGCAGTTTGATGCGCAGTCGTTCGAAATATCCCGGCTTGCGGAAATTGACAAACTCGTCTTCGTCATCTTCGACGTAGGGCGCCTTATAAGTCATTTCGTTTCGTGTTTCGTTACCAGTGGCTGTCTCTTCAAGTTGTTCAGGCTTTTGGATGGCGGCTAAGTTGTACTTATGAGGGCGCCGTAACAATTTCCGTGATGGTCTGTCTACTTCCCATTCCAGCATTCATTTCCCACATTGCCGCGGCCGGCTTGTGTTTATTTAAGCTTGGTGCCAGTGAGATTTTTAGATGAGCAAATATCTATCTAGTTTCGGACTGTGGCGGTCCGAATGGAGTTTCCTTTGTTTTGTTTCACTGAGTTGGAGATGCTCGTACTAGGTGTATCAAGAAGGCTCAAAGGGAGTCATACTAGCAATGCAGTCTCAGACGAGACGTATCTAGATGATCTGGGTCTGCAAACTGTCTTCTACATCTCAAAACATCGACGGGTACGTAAAAGCGCCTTCATGCTTACATAAAACACATATGAACAGGTGTATAAATGTTGGTCAACTGACTAGGTTAGTACGACTGGAGGATTACCAGTCCAGCAAATCCACAGTTCCCGGCCTCTGGTCAACATGATCCTGCCACGTCCGCATCGTAGCCGTCGTCCCCTTCTCCCCAACAAACGATACCTTCGTGCTGTACACCCGAGACATGGTAGGCACCACCATCTCATCAGCCCTGACCAGCGCAGCTGCAGGCCTGATTGTCACAGCGCAGCAGCGAAGATATTATCCGAGAGACCGCATCGCCGGGGATATCGGCGCAGGAGCCTGATCGCCCTCCGCCGCGTGTGCTAAGGGTGGCCTGAGCAGGCTACGAGGTAGATGGGAACCACGATCGACGGTACCGGTGTGGCACAGGCGCGTTTGACGCGCAGGCTGTCATCCAGCTCCCCGAGGTGCTCGGCAAGATCGACAACTCTCTTGTACTGGTCCAGGAGCTCATGTGCGCGTGTCGCCTGGCTATCATACATATTCTCATTGCCGCGCATGGCGCCACCACGCCTACGAATTTGCCTTGCAGGAGAAAGATAGTTGTAGCTATCGTACTTATCGTACTCGCTCATGGCACCATCGTACGGTTGTCATGCAAGACTGGAAGCGGCGGCAGAGAATGCACCAATGCCTGTCCAAAGTCTCTCCATGGCGACATTGTGCCCACCGATTTGCCATATAGGAAAAGAGGGCGCGGCCATGGCTGCAGTACACACATGAGACTGCCTTCCAGAGCTTCGGCCTTTTGGACTGCCTATAAGGACTGCCCATGTTATCTACTTCATCTTCTCCACTGGTGTCCGGCGATAATCGATTCGTCAGCAGTTTATGCAGAACATACATCCTGGGCTGCGCGTGCAAAGCACGCCATACAGCACCTCATGCGAGAGCTCCATCCAGGGCTACGACCGGCATATCTCCGAGCTTGTGCACCTCAACTCCTCAGCATTGCGATGTTGCGATATGTTGCAATTGTATTACTGGTTCAAATGAATGTCGTGCGAGAGGGTTGAGATGGCGACAGGTGCCCGCACGTGAGGGAGCACGGTGCCAAATGACCCGAACACAATACAAAAGATCGAACATCCCCAAGCTCTAGCTTCGACTTCGTTCACCCATTCATATAGTCCGTATCTTGTCGCACAGGATGCCTCGATTCATCCAACATGTCGACCACCGTGACCGAAACCATCGCGCCAACTGCGACTGGCCCTACCAACAACGCAGACCAATACAGCTTCGACAAGCTTAGCCCCTACACCCACCCGCCTGAGACCAAGGCCGAGCTGCCATGGTCAGAGCTCGTCACTCTCGATCTCGAAGACTTTGATCGACCAGGTGGCAAGGAGCGCTTGGCGAAACAACTGGAGCATGCCGTCCACCATGTAGGCTTCTTTTACGTCAAGAACTACGGTATTGCTCAAGAAGACGTTGATCGCCAGTTCACGCTGGCGAAGAACTTCTTCGAGCTGCCCGTGTCGGAGAAGGAGAAGTTCGAGGTCAACTATGGGTTCGTTTCTCACTCGTGCTATGCTCTTGGGTAACTTAGATGCTAACATTCTCTGCAGTGCCGCCGACTACAACGGCTGGCGTCGTCCAGGCCGCCGTGTCATGAGCAAGACCAAGGACAACATCGAAATGTACAATATGGCCAAGTTCACCAAAGACTTCGAAGGCACGTACGACCATCCGGATCTGATCAAAGCTCATCTGTCGGAGATTGAGAAGTTCCACCGAGCGTTGCACTCCAACATAGTCACGCCGTTGCTGTGTCTCTTTGCCATCATTCTCCAACTACCCGACGAAGACTATCTGGTCAAGCAGCATACGTATGAGGAGAAGAGTGAGGACCACTTCCGTTACATGCTCTACTACTCCCGAAATGAGCAGGAGTGGAAGGACGCCGACTACGGCAAGAAAGGCGGCCACACTGACCTCGGCACCGTAACACTGCTGTTCCGTCAACCAGTAGCCGGTCTTCAAATCCTGGGCGAAGACGGCGAGTGGACCTGGGTGTCCCCTCAGCCCGGCACCGTCACCGTCAATCTCGCGGACACCATCTCCCACTTGACGGGTGGTTGGCTCAAGAGCAGTGTGCACCGCGTCGTTGCGCCGCCGGAAGACCAGCGGGACTTCAAGCGCACGGGTCTGCTCTACTTTGCTCGCCCGCGTAACAAGACTGTTCTGCTTCCTATCACTGACTCGCCAGTGCTGGAGGCTGCTGGCGTAAAGCCGAGGTTTGAGGGGAATGTCACAATGGAGCAATGGGTGAAAGCGAAGCAGACGCTGCAGTTGAACCCTGATATTGCGGCGAAACGGTGGGCTGAGAAGGGAGACGGTACGGTCGAAGTGCTTGCTGGGTTCAGGGACCAGAAGTACAAGGAGTGATCAGGCAGCTCACGACTGTGTAGCCCTCTCTTATCCATGTTCGCCTCATGCTGGTCGTTCGTCTCGTTCTCCACTTGACACAGCCCTGCATACCGTGTGCCGCATGCGGAAGCCATGCATGAAGGAAGCCCACCGTCCCTTACCGACGCCGTAAAGGTGAGAGCGTCCATGGTTCCCGTGGTACGTATATTGAATGCTGTGGCTTCGCACATCACTGTGACAGGAGCCTTGTAGTGATCGGGAACGATCATGTTTCCGGGCGCACTTGATCGAGCTATACGCCCAATACTGCGTAGACCAAGTCCCTTTCATCTGTGGCTTTCATTGCAAGACTGAGAGCGAAAGCTTCTTCCCCATGCCAGTGTCCTATCCTCTGGTAGCTCGTCGACCAGGGTAAGGAACACGGGCAGGTAGGACAGGTAGGTGACGGTGCGCACGAGTGCTGAGAAAAAGACGAACACCCGGGTGGGTTGGATGACGACTGACTCCGAAGACGGAGACAACAACTCAGACGGTGCAGAGAAGGACGTCAATGTGGACATGGAAGAGGACGGTGACATTGAGGACGCGGAGAGCAAGCCTAGTTCATGGGATGCCATACCGAGCACACTTTTCGTTCGTAACATGTCATTCAACTATACAGACGAATATCTGGACGACCACTTCACTCGCTTCGGCTGCGTACCATATGTGAGGGTCGTAATGGTCCCAGATACGAGTGTTCAAAAGATACAGGCTTCGTCAGCTTTTACAGCAAAGGTGATGCCGATGCTTTACATACGAGGCGCACCAGACGCACCATGCCAACCGAAGCTGAGAAGTCCAAAGACAGAAGGACCATCCTCCAGAACGGGCAAGCCGAGCCTTCGGGACAAACCACGCTCGACGGACGTGTGCTGCATACAAATACCACCTACCTATTCCAAAGCAATAATGGCTATTCTATTAAAAAGTTTTGACATATCTCGTCTTAATACACACGGAAGGTTGGGTGTTCAAGTCACCTATTTCTTAAAGAGTATAAAATATGGGATTTTATTTCTTAATAAATTATTAAATAATATAATTTATTTAATAATATATACTTTAGATGTGATGCACTGAAGTGAGTCCATGACCCCACCCATGTATGAGTGTGCAAAGCTAGGCGGCTCAATCTCAAGCTCTGGGGTGGGCCACGGGCCGGGGACATGGTAGGAATTGTGAGGTACGGTAAACGGGGGCCAGGAGGTCCCGTCTGGATAGCTAGCCGCTGCATCTATGTTCCCATCTACGTGGTCAGGAATGAAGATGTGGCCCACGATTTGCTACTTGGCCTCAACTTCATCATGAAGGCGGACATGACTCTGTACCCGGAAGGTGATCTACGATCTACCAGTCTACCCTCCCTGACCTGAACTCTTACAAACAGCACTTGTTCCAGGGCCTCAACGTAACTTTCTGGGTGGCGACCATAGTTCACTCAGCAGCATCTCTCTGAGGCCGAGAGAATGTAGGTCGTCTACTGGGAGATGGTGAGACGATGCAGTCCCGCCTTCGAGCCTCCGCTCGAGGCTGCAACACCTGGAATCAGTTCGAGCGTAACGTCAAGCGAGACTTTCGACTTGGAGACACCCCAACAGGCCCTATAATGAAGACATAGGGAATTCCATTGAGGGAATGCCATTGAGTGTATCCAGACCGTCAGGCGTCAGGTAGTGAGTGAGTGGACGTCCGGTGCTTAAGTGAGCATCATGGGCTACTCTTATGTTGGGTGTTTTGTTGGAGTTATTAGTTGGTACGGGTCATTGGTTTTCACATACATATTGGTAATGAACATGGGACAAAATGCAGTGGAATATGTGCCCCGTCTCGAAAATAACAGGTGCCCACGTTGCATTTGGTCCGCACGAGACTGTGCATGGCGACATGAACAATTTGAGTCTGAATGATATACACAACGTTTGTGACTTCATCGTCCCCAGAGAGGCGATTCGTGGGAGACTTGAGGTTTACTGGAAGTTTCGCTTCGTACATACAAGACTATGAGGTCGCGTTGATGAACCACAGCCCACAATCTGTGACCGCCTGGCCCCCATACGGACACTTCTCCGCGTTCTGCGAGACATAGTGCTTCACGCAATCGTCCTGCGAGTACGTGAAGTCGATGCTAGTTGGCTGGTCGGGATCAGCGCAGCCCTGCTTGGACCACAAGAAGCTGAAAATCAGGAAGTCTCCGTTCGACGTGCCCCCTTTGACCTGGCTCTCCGAAAGCACGCTGTCGGGGAGCTGGACGTCATCGCTGCTCATGACGACCGAGTGCTTCTGCAGCGCGCTGCGGAACGCCTCGGCGTGATTTTGGACGTCTTTGATATCCCCCAACTGCTTGGGCTGTTGGTCGCTGGTCCAGCAATTTGCAGTCAGGGTATCTTCGGGAGTCGAGGTATCTTCGGGCTCTTGATAATAGGGATTGGCCACGGTGTCCGTGGTGCTCGCCGTGCAGCATTGATTGTCAATGATGTTATCTATATTGTCCGTGAGCAGGGTTCGAGATGCAAAGACCGTGATAAACATACTGCTACTGTCGCGCAGACAGTCGCCGTCGCCGTAATAGACATCGCCGTAGTTCGAAGACCACGATGCGACTAACTTGCATCCCGGCACTACTTCCTTGTTGGAGGAAGACCCACCGATCTTTCCTTAGAATGTAGCGGAATTTGTGCTTCCAGTGCCGAATGCGACATCTAGACGTGGCATCAGCTCTGACCGGTATGGTCTTGGACCCTTCGGTCTTCAGTACGGTTCACTTACTGTAGGCATCGCCCCCTTCACATCGCGGGCTGTCGTTGATGACAATGCGTCAGTAGTTCACATGCTGTGATTGATCAGCATCTCGTTCATTCCTGGCGTAGTATTAGGATCACTTACAGCATTCGTCCCGGAGGTCTCGGTGTCACTGAGGCCTCTGTCGTCTGATTCGGTGTCACTGGGGCCTCTGTCGTCGTGATCGCTCCGGGAGGTAGATCAGTCTGGGTTATTTGGCCACAGTTCGTGACGGTAATCGGGAAGCTAAGTTCTGATGAACTCGAGCTCGATACTGACGAAGGTGTCGATGTAGATGTAGATTTCGATGTCGTGAGGGTCGTAGAAGTTGGCGAGTTGGTAGTGGTGGATGAGTGGTGGATGAATCGTCATCTCCGTTGTCATTGTCAGTGTCCACCTCTTGCCATGAACTGCTGAGCGCTTCAGTGGCTGCCGGGGCAGGCGATGACACAGCTGAACACATGTTAGTCAAGTACTGCCCCGTGGCAATACGGAGGACTCGTTCCTTACCTTGTGAGGCAGCTGCAGATGCTGCTTCTAGAGACGCGATGACGCTCGAGGGGGCAGCGCTGACACTGGCGACTGTTTGCGGACGTCATTAGTCAATGACTCGACCAGGTATCGTGAGGAGTTCCTTACATGCCAGCGCAACTGCGATTGAAGATGCTGCTGCGTTCGCTTTGTCGGAATCGCTCGAGTCTTGGCTGTAAGAAGAGACAGCCTCGCCAGCCGAGCTGATGAGGCCATCAATGGTGCCAGCTATTGGTAGGAATGGGTTATTGGGGTAGTCCTGTGATGTATCAGTCTGGTGTACTCGGAAGAAGTACGCTAAAGGGAGTATATTTGTCTCTCACTCCATTCTCAATGTTGAAAGTCGCTCCGTTCAACGATCACTCTCCTCCCCAGACCGAGTCCCCATCAATGCATTGGTCGATGATGTTTCCAAAGGCATCTTCGCATGCAGACACGTCAGTGGTATCATCGGCCTTCCTGATGCGAAACTCAACCAGCCCATAGTTCCAGGTGTTGTCATTGTTCTGAACGTTGGCATTGCCGCTCTGGCATACGCCTGAAACTTGTGCCCGAAGGACTGCTGCAACATCGTCGCCTCCCAAGCTCTCATCCCCGAACGGTTTGTTGTCGTAACAGGTGGCTGCAGAAGATAGGCCAATCAAGAAAGTTGCCTGGAAATAGCCTACGATGGATCTGGTATGCATGATGGATGACAGTAGGTAGGTAGTAGTTATGCGAACAGTCTCCTTGGACATTTGGAAGGGTACCGCATCACAACAAGACCAGCTACGTAAGTGGTGAATGGGAGTCTCTTATAAGACCAGGACGTAGACGAGATCTCATCAATGTCTACACAAGGGGTACGTACGTACCGCCATCTTGAACCCTAGGGCCAGGTATGTGACTAGCGGTACCAGCTGAAAAGCTGAATGTGCACTTCTAGAGGCTGTGCTGCATTGAAAGGCCTTTTGGAGGCGGGCTTCGCCCCTGAAGTGCACTTTGGCGCCCGGGGTGATCCTTGGTAGAGCGTGTTAAAGTAGATTTATAGGGTGATATACGTATTTTGCTCCAGGCTACCCTATACAGCCCCAGTACGCCGCCCGGGCTCGGTGCTCGTTAAGTATCATTTGAGGCTGAAAGCTGGGACATAAACATACATTTCCTATGCACGCTCCACACTGAGGTATCAGCGTGGGCGGCCATATGTATTTATAGGATAGGAAAAAAGCATATTGGCTGCGTGACCCGATTGTCTCTGCAACATCTGCCGTCACCTTTGGTATTCACCTCGAAGGTATATATCTGAGGAACTCTCCCCGCGCTTATATCACTGGGAGTAACACTAACAATCCTCCCGTCCCTTTGCCACCCAACTCTACCCTCGAAGATGCTGCCAATCATGTTGCTGCCGATCTGCCTCGCTTGGCTAAACCTTCCATCGGCCTTTTCCCGATCGATCTGGTCGTCCGCGGCGTCCCACGACCGCCGACAGACGATGTTTCCACAAGTCGACGTGGATGCAGACACGGTGGTCTATGTGCGCTTCCAGATCCCTCGATCTGGCCAGACTTCGCGAGATGCTCGTGTCACTGAGACTAGCTGGGATAGCGACGTGGGCTCCGTGACGGCGACATGCATGGACTTCTTCAATTCCGGTGGTACCAACGATCAGCTGTGGCGATATTTCGATATTTCGACACTACAGTACGCGGGGCTCTTCCGTGCTTCGTGTCTTATGGGAATGGCGGCACAGTCTGGCTTGGACGGTGACAACGTGGCTGGTAAGTAATCATATTGTACAGGCGTCACTGAACGGTAGTTGATATCCCCGGAAAGGGTCCTTCATCCTGCCCAGCGGCGTAGCGAAGCTCCGTACCATTGGACCAGACACGAACGGCGACGGGTGGACTGCGCAAGACCGCCAAGCCGTCACGGGGATCTTCGGCATCGCTGGACAGCTGGATGCGTCCGACTTTGCCTACACGACGGTCGGGGCTATCAAGGATAGCTTGATGGACTGGGATCCAAGAAAGCGATACGATAACCAGTTGCGCTTGTCTCTGGAGAAGAACAACGGAGACTCCGTACCGTTGACCCTGGGTCTGATACACTAGTCTGAGCTGTCAAAGTTCCCATCGGGTGTGCCCATATGGTGGCTACGGTTAGCGGGGTGTGGGTGACTGTCCCTCTGAGTTGCATGGACCAGGCGGTGGTGACAGAGGCCGAAGGAACTATGGCCTGGTTAGCAATATGTCGTATGCCCCAGATCGAATGACTGTCATGAGTAATTCATCAACAGTACAGCCGCTCCAGCACGAGCACAAGCATGAGCACCAGTTTCACTGATCCATTGTCTCTGATGTTCGTCCCGCACTGGCCTTACATGCCAGGGTTGAGTCAGTTCCAATCTCGCGGGAGGTGGCGCATCCTGTACCTCGCGCTGCCAGTCTGTATACCTCGAGCCACAGTAATGCACACTTTCGAAAACGTCAATATGGCCCAGTGGCTGTCGCCCTTTGAGCGGTCCAGCCCGCCCGTTTCCGGCCCTGAAGGGCAGCGCTCCTTTGTCAACCCCCAGCACAAAGGCAGCCGGGCAGGCCGTCGTGGCAAGACAATTGTCCCAAACAACGTCGAAAAACTTTGCACGAAATTGTTGGCCAAATTTCGCCTCTAGAGATCAATATCGAATTCGCGCATATATAACCCTTTCTTGGGTGGGAGGAGTCGAGGACTCCAGCGACATCGCGACCCCAATCGACATCGCCCGAGCAGAAGCCGAGTATTCAGAACCCCAAGTGCTGGGGGTGAGGGACATGGACACCAGAGCAGAGGCGCCAAAGTTGTCGGACCTGAACCTACACTGGGGCGGCGGCAACAGCCGTGTCGGCATCGCCGTCGCGACCGTGATCACGGTCCTCGTGATCGCGGCCATCGTGGCCGGCCTGGCGGCTTGGGCTTGCAGGAGGGATACTCGGCGGAAGAGTGTTCATGTCGAGCATGTGCACGACCTTTGACGAAACATCGCGGAGCTGGGAAACTTACGGATAAGACTCGAGCTTTGCCAGGAGGGGGAGATGCGTACTTCGCGGCTCATGAGGGCGACGATTGGATATTGCGGGTTTTGGGATGGAGGTGCATGTACACACGCAAAAAGGTCGCGTGTCTACACGAGAACAGGGTAGAACGGAAACCTTTCTGGTTGGAAGCGGCTGGACATCGGATGGAGAGTATGGCTGAGCATCATGTCAGATCGAAGCACCGCGCCACCAAGTCGATGCTTCGTCGACGAGCCATTATGCAGGAGCTTGAGCTAGAACGGTATACAAGCCTTCGATACTATGAAGAAAGATAAACTCGTCACTCACAACAAAGTTATCACTTACTGTTCCAGACATCTCTCTAGCTGCCCCTGAGCCCCTACGGTATAGCATCTCGATAATGGTCAGCCCCTGACACTGCCCTCAAGGCCGTTCCATTCTCCTCGACCCAGGCGTAGCCACCCTCGCTTTCGCTTGATAGCCGATCAAATGAATTCAAGTGACGCCCAGAAAAGCCACAGTAGCCGGAAGCGAATAAGAGTGAGTCAGGTGGCAGCAGTACGGCCGGGCCCTCGGAAACCCCAGACCACGGATTCGGTAGACCGGAAAGGCGTGATTTCCGGTATGGTCCAGGTGACTCTTGCCCGTGCACCGAGGTCACCTGAGGCTGGCCTTGAGTGGAGTGGAACGGAGGGTTAAGGTATTGGTTCGTCCTTTGTTCTGTGGAAGATCTGCAGGTGCATCTGGTTAAAGCGTTACATAGGCTCTCAAGGGGGTTATTCCACCACGCTGCAGAAGGAAGCGGCGTCGCCTGGCGGCGCTCAATGAACCATGTCTGTGTTCAAGTGGTCACTTAATGCCACCTGTTTATAAGTATCATCCAGGTGGTCGACCCCTCCGAGGCACAGCAGAGGCGCTTCAGGAGGAAGCGGCGTCGGTTGGCTGGCTTCGGAGCAGCGTCATCAATGATACTTGTTCTTCGGTGCTAATGCTACCTATTGTCGGATATCGTACCAGGCTGAGGCTTTCGGTGATGAATGCGCTGATAGGTGGCTTCATGACATTCACCTGGCGCCACTATCAGATGATTATCTGGTTATTTTAGCGCCATTATTGTACGACTATCTGGTCACTTTGATGGCATATCTGTACATATATATGGGGACTTCTCCCCCAGAGATCTTCTTCTCTTCCCTCTTCTAATATAGAACGGTTTGAAATCTTACATGGTAGCATCTCGCTTTCGATCACGACCTTTGCAGATCTTTTGTTACTGATCATCTCTCTCTTCACTGCTTCATGAGGATTAGCTACCCTCATTGTCGCAGTCCCCTACCGTTCTCTGAATACGAATCTGTTTTTTATAACAGAGGCTCCCTGACGTCGGAAGCCACCTATCACGTACCGTATCCCCTCATCACTATAATGTCTGACTCGAACGAGCACTCTTCCAAGGTAATCATCAAGCTTCTGGACTCTCAGAAGCTTGTTGGTCAGGAAAATTGGGAGAATTGGGCTCAAAATATGGAGCAACTGCTGACCGCAGTTAACCTCTGGCCTCTCATTCAAGAGGCCATCAAGAAGGACGATGAGGTCCCCTATTCGCTCAAGACCTCTGCTGTCGACGTAGATGGTCATTCGAGCAAGACTTCTTCCAAGGTCAAAGATAAGACTGACGAGAAGAAGCCTACCAGCGAGACGTTTTCAAGCTCGCAAAAGGCGATCGTATATCTCTCGATTACACAAAATATCAAGCCGGAAGCGGGTTATCGCATTGCCGGCCTGCATGACCCTGGGAAGGTCTGGACCGCCCTACGTCGTGCCTTTTCTGGTATGACAATCGACCAGGTATCGTCGGTCCTAGACGATCTATCTGTGATTCGATACTCCGATCATGGAGATGACTTCGTGGCGCGCTACCGCCTTCTGATGGATCGTGTGGAGCGCCAGAAGATCGATTACTCTGCGATGAGTCGGATTTGTAACTTCCGAGCGGCAATCAGGACTTCTTTTCTGACCCTCCACCGCAAAATCTCACGGGATTATAACCATGGGATCTACTCAACGACAGAAAACCTTATCTATCAGCTTCAGGAGGAGATATACATCCGCAAGTCGCAGGATGAGACCTTTGCAACCCATATGGGCCGATCTCCTGCCCCTCCTGCTGTTCCTGCCACTCCTGCCAGTCCTGCGGGCGCCAACAAATGCAACAAGCAGCGAAAGAAGAACAGGGGCAAAGGAGGCTCCGGAGGCGCTCGGGGACCTGATCAGAAGGATCCTGGCGCTTCAAACACTACAGTTGTGTGGTGCTTTGAGTGTGGAGAGCTCAACAAGAAGAAAGGGCACGATGGCTGCAACCAACGTATCTTGAAGCAGGTGTTGCAAGCTGCTTTAAAGGGAGCTGCGAACAGCTCTTCTAGGGGATCATCTGGTGCTGGCGGTACTACTCCCGCTACTCACTGGTACCGTGAGACTTCTGCGGCTGCAGGAGACCATAGTGTCGCTCCTACAAGAACTACGAGCAACATCACGGTACAGGAAGCATATTTTAACATTCCTTACGGCGCTAATCAGGTGGATATTGACCTCAGTGTCCCCTTCCAACCTGAAATTCAAACTGAAGCTCACGCTCACGCTATCTCTGCCGCCTCTGATCGATGGCTATTCGATTCTGGATCTACGGTTCCTATTTGCAACCATAAGAAGTGGTTCATTTGTCTTTGAATAGACCCTGACCTTCTTCCAATTGCTACAGGTGGTGGCCCCGTTCAACCTCTTGGTGTTGGCGACGTGGAGATCGATTTTGTCACTTCTGAAGGCAGAACAGTTACTTGATTGATCACAGACGTGCTCTACGTGCCCTCCTTTCAGATCAACCTCCTCTCTGGCGATCAGTTATAGCGTCAGGGTTGGTATCTGATGATTCGGGATCTATTTAACTCTGCTGGTACCTGGGTGACATCCCTTCATAGCGGCATGTATGTGAAGATAATCACTCTACCGCTACAGAAGGAGTCTTACAACATCATACGCGCTCCACAGGCATTTGTCAACCTGTTCTCAGCTGAAGGAAAGGAAGAAAGTGATCCTGGTGCCTAATTGAGGGCCAAAAGGGAGGCTATGAAGCTCCTTCACCTCTGGCATACGAAGCTGGGCCACCGATCAATTGGCGATATGGTCAAAATGGCCAAAATCGTCAAAGGCATCGATCTACCGCCAAATACGCTCGAATTGGCAAAGGAATTCACCTGCTTAGACTGTCTGGAGACGAATCTCCGTCGAATGGTCTCCCGAGTCGAGCAAGAACACCCTGATCAGGCCCTTGACGTGGTTCACACTGATACCGCGCACCATTTGGCTGAAGGATACGATGGTTCTAAACGAGCTACGATGCTAGTCAATGGCAAGTCACAAAAACGTGAATATCATCCTCACACGCAAAAGGGCGAGACCTCAGACATCTGCATCTGTTATTACAAGCGGATGAAGCTCCAGTACGGTCGCTACCCTCGCTGTTTTCGCTTGGATAACGGCACAAAGTATGCCAAATTTATCAAATGGGGCCGATCTAAAGGCATCAAGTTCGAACTGAGCGCTCCATATACTCCTGAGCAAAATGGGGTGACAGAGCGCTCTCTTGGTATGATTCATTCGTTTGTTCGGAGTGTTATCGAACAGATGAAGCTGCCAGAGTCTCTCTGGCCGATTATTGGCCCTGCAGTATGTGATCGGCTCAACGTGAGCTACACCTCCTTCCTCCAGAAGGATAACAGGACCCCAGATGAGGTCTTTTTTGACGATCTGACTCCTGGCAAGGATAACAAGCCTGATCTGAGCAATCTCCTCCCAATCGGGCAGGCTGCCGTGGTCCATCTGCCACATCAGCGTCGCGTTCGGGGCAACAAAACGGCTCCTCATGCGAGAAAAGGGCGAATTCTTCGCTCAATTGGCTCTAATCAGTATCAGGTTTATTTGCCTGAGTCGCAGACGGTCATTACGAGTGCACATCTTGAAATTCTAGATGGGTACATCGCTTCTGGGGAATCAATCCATATCTTCCCAGACTTCCAAAGTACACTTGACGATTACGAGCGAACCATCCACAAGAAAGACAATCTGAAGAAGCCATTTTCTTCAGAGGGCGCTAACAATCTTCAGCATATATCGGATGAGTCAGATAGTAAAGACTGGGGCTGGATAAATGTCTCTGAACCCGTCATCACTTTGGGCACTCCGGTCATCTCACTGATCGTATCCGATGATGGCAGCGGCGACCCTCAATCGACACTCAGCGATTCTGAGCCCGATATTGGCCCAATTAATACGCCGACTAGATTATCGGAATTGCCTCAGCAAGTTCTATCTCATAGGCCGACTCTAGTATCGCGATCACAAGCTAGGATGGATCCTTGCAACGTGTTATCCGGAGGGCGTACCCGCAGGTTGCAGAACCATTATGTTTCTGAGATCACAACTCCCGGGATCTCTCCACATGTTACAATTCAGGCTTCTTATGCTAATTGGCCCTCTGCTGACCCTGATCAAGCGCTTTCTGAAGCAGATGAACCTTCCAACTATCGGGAGGCGATGGCGTCAGTTGAAGCACCACAATGGTTAGAAGGTACTCATCTCGAGATACGCGTGCTGCTGTGTAACAAGACCTTTTCGGCGCTCTAGAGGTCAGCAATACCTCTAAATCGCAAGCCTTTAACCTCTCGTCACGTCTATAAGCGCAAGAAGGACCCGATTACTGGTAAAACAACTCGATACAAGGATCGGATTACTGCTCGTGGGTTCATGCAACGCCATGGTCTCGATTATTTCGAGACTCAAGCCTCTGGCGCGCGCACAACCACCTGGAGACTGTTGTTGGCTCTCTCAGCTATTCTGGATTGGGAGATCGACCAAACGGACGCCGTTTCGGCCTTCCTGATGGGAGAATTAGATGAGGAGATCTACATGGAGACTCCTGACGGCCTGGATGACTTCTTTGAGATGTATCCAGAAGAGAACACCATTGGTTGTCGATGAGGGATGATTCTCAAGCTCGAAAAGCCCCTGTATGGCCTTAAACAGAGCCCTTGTCAGTGGCAGAAGCGCCTTTGTGGCGCGCTTCAGACCCTTGGCTTTGAACCTCTGATCTCTGACAATGCCGTCTATTACTCCAAGGAGCGTGGCATTTTTGTCATTAGCTATGTGGATGACTTCCTTATCCTGGGCGCCAACCGCTCTAAGATTGATCTGTTCAAGCAGGATCTCTCTGTTGCCTTCGAAATGAAGGATTTGGGCGCTGTCCAGCACTTTCTTGGCGTAAAAATCGTCAGGGATCGTGCAAAAAGGACACTATGGCTGTCACAAAGCACGTACATCCAACGCACTACTGAGACCTTTGATCAGGCTCGAACTGGACGTGTGAACGTACCCATCTCGCCTCAAACGGTTGAGAAACTGGACCAGGATGACACCGAGGATGGCGGTTCGCCCGAGGTAACTCACAAGTACCAATCCCTGATTGGCTCTGAGAATTTCCCTACATGCTACACCCGTCCTGATATCTTCTTCTCAATGGGGGTACTTTTGTGGTACCTCCATTGTCCCAGAACTGCACAACTTGCTGCGGCTCAGGGGCTCCTTCAATACCTCTGGAACACAAAGGACCTAGGCATTCGTTTCGGAGGCCCTGAATACGCCAAAATGACCTCTGACGAGGTCACTGGCATCATCCCATCCCTTCTACTTGGTTATTGTGATGCTAGCTACACTGGCAGCATCAAGGATGGAGCCAAATCGACCTCTGGCTACCTATTCACCTTTGCTGGAGGCGTTATCTCGTGGTCTTCGAAGCTACAGACTGTTGTGGCACAATCTATTGTTGAATCAGAGTATTATGCTATCAATGAAGCCGTGAAGGAGGCTGCCTGGCTACGAGAGCTGATGAACGAGCTCGGATACACCCTGGACACCCTCCTATTGCACTCTGACAGTGCTGGAGCCATTCATCTGGCTCAGAACACCGAATTCCATCGCCGAACGAAGCACATTCGAGTGCGAGAGCATTACATTCGCCAGGAAATTCAAGCTAAGCATATCTCGCTGCAGTTCCTTGGTACTGACGAGATGCTAGCTGACGGCCTCACCAAGGCCATGCCAAAGGCGAAATTTAGCTCGTTTTTGCAGCTGTTAGGACTCGTTAAAGTCAAATAAGGGTTCAGGAATGCTGTAATACTCCAAGGTCTAGGTGATTAGACTGTTAATTATAGTTGTGTGGTAGTGATACCCTCAGTTTAAGAGGGCGTGTCGGATATCGTACCAGGCTGAGGCTTTCGGTGATGAATGCGCTGATAGGTGGCTTCATGACATTTACCTGGCGCCACTATCAGATGATTATCTGGTTATCTTAGCGCCATTATTGTACGACTATCTGGTCATCTTGATGGCATATCTGTACATATATATGGGGACTTCTCCCCCAGAGATCTTCTTCTCTTCCCTCTTCTAATATAGAACGGTTTGAAATCTCACACCTATCCAGGTGGTCGTATTCTCTAGCAAGGTACAAACAACACGACTCCTAAAATAAAACATAAATTGGGGCCTCGGTGTTGTAATGAGTTGACACTGCGCCAAGCACGTTATACCCGCTCAGACTAATAAGTCTAGGCGGGTAACTGCGAAAAAGATCTGGCTATATCTAGGTAGTAATAAGAAAGCGTCATCGGTTTTCGGACACCTCCGTCTTTGCAAGGGTCCGCTGTAAAGAACTTTATAGAACTTTATAAAACTTTATGGAACTTTATAGAACTTTATGCCATGGTATCTTCTTCCCAGAACGTGGAACTCGCCACGGCCGGGGAATATAAAGCTTCGCCCAAGGTAGGTGGTAGGTAGGTTCTCAGATTCCACATCCATTCACGACACGGCTTTCATCCCCTCGAACACCATCCCCCTCGCTTTACCAATCTCCTCTCTGTACTCAGCAGCATTGACCCTTAAGAGCCATTCAAACAGACCCGAAAATTCTACAGCCATGCGCGTCTCCGTCCTGCTTGTCGGCCTGTGTGGTCTCGCGACCGCGACCGCGTTCGCGCGTAGCGTCGTTCCCCCAACCAACAGAGCTGTGAACGACGACGTCTCGATCATCGACAGCGGCAGCGACAACGACAGCAACATCGATGCGAGCACGACCCTGCCGGCCAAAGAAACGGGCTCGCACGCACACCTAGCGATACGGGCCGAATGGGACCTCAAGTCGGAAGCATTGTACATCATTTCGCTGAACGATTACAAGGCGGCAGGGTGGAGCTTTGGAAATGCCGAGGAGACCTTGATGACGGGCATCAAAGAGCAAGGTCTCGACCCTGCCGAAGTAGCGTTCTGGTATAAATACCTCAATGGAGCAACCGACTTATTCGGCCAGGTTAAATACCCGTCAGATGAACTTGTTGAGAAGGCAAAGAAAGTGGTTTACGAGGGTAAGACTGTAACATGGTGATGTGGTGTCTTCACGACGATCGATCTGGTGGAGGGATCATCATGGTGGTGCTGAGATATGGACTGCGCGAGTCTCGGAGGGGACAGTAGGCTCCAAACAAGGAGTCTTCTTATAGATAGGTAGCTCAGGTAGTTTACCGCATGGATGGCGTTGGCGTTTGTTCAGCATGCGGGCACATGCTAAAAAAAATATAGATTTGATTTGGGTACCATTTCCTGCCTTTCCGAACTGCCTTTGCATGAGATAAGTAAGAGAATAAATCACGGAATAGCGAGCCTTTGAAAGTAACTTATGCAACCGCTTTAATAACTGGTCACTACGGTATAATGGTGATTATAACAAGCTGTCGACAACCCATCAATCAAATCCAAGCATCAAGACACCGTAAGTAGATCAAAGGCACCCAGCAACAGACGACGCGAATCCCCTCCTACCTAAGTAAGAGCTAATAATCTTCTATCATAGGTCATGCCCAACCAAAAGACGCCGTCTATCATGCAGGTAGGTACCAACGTAAGGTTCTCCAAGTCAAAACAACCGAACCTTAATACGTTTTCAACACCCAAAATGCCCTCCAAAGTTATCATCAAACTATCAATGAAACAAGCCACTCAAAGTCAAAGTACCTTAGCCCCAAAAAGGCTCTAACCAACTCTCAACAGCCGACCCATCTACAGTCAATCACGATGACCAGCCCAGCATCCTGACCTGCAGCGTGGAGATCGGGTCAAGTACAACATCAACCAGCCTTGTGTGGCATGACCACGGCCCCGACAGCTACGAGGAGAGCCTGGCGCCATGTCGAAGCCGGTCACTGGGCATGATGGAGAGATGGAGCGAGGGGTGAGTGATCTGTCAATGGGAATCTGCGGCTCAAAATTCATGGACGGGGTGGTGGGTGAGGCGGGGAGGGTATATGAGGAGAGGAAGGCGAATGGTCGACGTGCCGGTTGCAGACCAAGACCGCAAACAAAGGTGTAAGCAGATCAACACTCTTAAGTTTCCCGTCACTTGATGTGTGGGTAATATCGCTTGAGTGCCACGAGTTTAGAATGTGACTAGTCACTGCATGCTATTCAACAGATATTGATCAGGACTTCACGAGAACCTTTTGAACAGTCAGATACGCTGTAATCAACGATAGTATTCATCACATGTTGTACATGTCCACCCCATACGCCGGATCCAGTGCCGTTGATGCAACATTTCCTGACGCCAGTGTCTATGCCCATTTTGATGCCCCCGCTGACCCTAGAACGTAATCCTGGAACGCCCCCCATGGGTTGATTCCGTTACATCCCCTTTCCGTTTTGTCGCTACCGATAATACAAAATTCTGAGTTGGTGTCTCTTCTTGAAGGACGCTTGATCCGGGTCGGGAACTTGGCGAGGAGACAGTAGTGTTCTCCTGTGATACGATTTTCCGTTCTTCTACTCGAATAGCCCACAGTAGTGTGAGCAGTACCTCTCGTGACGGTAAGCTGGTGCCTTCTGGCCACATCTGCGGTCCACGGCTCTGATCTCCCTTGATACCCGGGGATCCAACTGCCAGCTCCTCGACCCGATCATCGCGTCCCTCAGACACCAACCGCAATAACCCCATCGTCGCATCCACGAGTGGACGCGCCAATATGGGGCTGCTGGTTAAAAGCTTCTGAAGGGACTTGAGTCTCAGAGTCGAAGAGGCCGAAAGTGGAGTCGAGATCTTGGGCGACCGAGTCGGTCCCCGCGGTTGCGCCTGGAGCGGCGCCGCTAACGTCGTCGCTGAGGAAATGATCGAAGTCGAATTCCGGAAATTCGGGGGTAGTGTCACTAGCCAGATGATTGTACTCAAAACCCAGGGGGTCGGCTGAAGGGCTAAATTCGTCTTGAGCGCCCCAGTTATCAGCGTCAAAGGACGACGACAGGCTGAAATCATGACCGAAGAGGCCATCAACAGTGTTTGAAGCTGCAGGTAGAGTGACTTGGTCTCCCTCGACTGCGGTACTTCCACCGACGGACACGGCAGGTCGCACAACACCGCTGCTGGATGTTGTGTCACGTCGGAGGATGTAGCCGCGGAAGAGGTGGCCAAGTTATTGCTTTCGGTCTTGATGTCGACATCGGAGATGGGGTTCAACTCGGGGGACAATGAGGCAGGATCGACAGTACCGTCCTGTTGCTCGGATTCTTCGGGCATGAGGATGAAGTCGTTCATCATACCAGGCCGAGCCTGCGAGGCTCCGTCGAGGGGGCCGAACAGGGGCTGGGATAGTGTGACTGGCGAAGGTTGCAAGCCCTCTAGGAGTGATGGGCTGTGACTGTTAGCTCCCGAGTTTCTTCGGAGCTTGTTCAGCTGTTCCCGCAAGATGCGGTTCTCGGCCGCGAGGTCTGCGTTTTTCGCCTCGAGAGCCTCGACTTCTTGTCTCTTACGCTCTCGGGAGGACTGGGCGGCACGACGGTTCCGGAGGACTCGCTCGACGCGACGCTGCTCCTTCTCATCTTCGGTCTTGGCTCGCTTTCTAGGACGGGGTTAGTAAGGGTGGCGGGGGTTGGTAAGCAGGTGGTACCACATACCTCGGAGGCAAGTTGGTCTTGGGCTCGGGAAGGACCTGGCCCCACGACTTTCTCTTCTTTGTCTTCTTCTCGCCGGACTCGGGGGCGGGCGTGGAGCCCATCTCGGAGCCGTTGTGATCGTCGGCGAATGACTCGGGGGTCATGACACTCTCGAGGTCCATGTCGGTCGAGGTTGCGAAGAGGGATGGGTACATCTCGCCAGGCGCCGACATGAGCGACTCGGTAGGCGAGGGCTCGAACTTGACCTGAGGGGTCGAAGCCGGCTGTGGTTGTTGGGATTCCCAGGTGCCAGCCATCTTGACTGTGTGGGAGTGTGGGTGCGGAGGAGGACTTGTGTAGTCGTTTGCTGTTTGCTGCGAGTGACAAGCAGGCGAGAGCAGAGCAGGTGAGCTTTGCTGTTGCTGCTGCTAGCTTGGCTGTGGTTGATGGATGGAGTTGTGTTGCAGAAGCAGGGGGGAACTCGACTGAGGTGAAGTGTGGTTGCTAAAGTAGAGAGGTGCCGTCCTAATTCCTCAATACAAATGATAGCGGGAGGATCATCTGGGTCCGTGCATATCTGGGCGAGCCGGGTGAGTCAACCAGTGGACGGTGAGTCAGGGCAATCGATGCAGTCAATCAATGACTGGGTGGATGCCTGCTTGGTGACAATATTGGTGGTGGTGGTGGTAATGCTGCTGTGGTGAAGAGAGTTGAGGACAAGGTGGCCTCGATGCAGTGGTGTGGTTGGTTGGTTGGTGGATGGATGATGGGCGAAATCAAATGTCGGTGGTGGCGGAGGAAAGGCTCGCTCTTTATGTTCAACGTGGCCTCAGGGGGCCGAACCTACGTGCGGCGCTGTGTCTGTGTGTCAGCCACCCTCTCCCTTCTGCGGCGGCACTGTTCTGTTCCTGCCTGCCTGTGCCGTCTAATTCGGGGGCCAAGGGGCGGTGCCTAGACAGGGGGCCGCCAGAGGAATGCCAGGGGGCGCCGGCGAACTTTGCGTTGGCTCCGAGTGGGCCGGTGATTGGTGGAGAGGTCTGACGACAGTGCCCTGGCTTGTGCCGCTTCCAAGGCTGTCTGGGCCCAGTGGACACCACGAGGGATACACACAGTGAGCACAAATTCACAATAGCGGGGGGCGGCGGACTGGGGCCACAAAAGGCAAGTGGATCCATCATTCATTCACCCATCCATCCAAATCCATCGGCAGCATCTGGGTCCATCACTGTTGGAACTTGCATGTGGAAGCCTGGCATCCAGCATCCAAATCCATCGACTGACTGCCTGACTGCCTCCTGCGCTCATTATAGACTCGTCAATGGCATCATCTCAGAGAGTCGGAGTCTTGTCAGCCGAACACCGGCGGCATCCGAAGCAGAAACATCTAATCAAGAAGAAGAAGATGAAGAAGAACAAGGAGGCTAGACTCTCCATATTCCACACCCTCACTTCGGTATATTGCTTTGGTAATATCGTAGTTGCAACCACAATTCCCGCTTTCGGCCAGCCTCGTACGCAGCTTCACATGTCCACACACTCCCGCCGTTCCGCCCGCTGCAACCTTGCCGACTGGTTTATTCATCTCTCTGCTTTCTCCCAGAGTGACTAGCATACAGTCATCAGTGGCAACGAGTCCGATGATGACTGAAACCTGATAGCCGAGCTGTGTAATAGCCGAGCACGCAGGTCACCCGCCTCCAGCTCCTACAGCTAGGTAACTTTTATTATTAACGCACGTAGCTATCCTCGGTTCGAAGTTGCTTCACCTCTCATCCATCAGGCTGTTTGCAATCGCGCATACTGTGCAAGCCTCGAAGTCCTTTTGCCTTTCTCACATAAACGATCGATCGATGTGGGCACTATCAGATCCTATCAGATGGGCGACAGGTTAAATTTAGCATCAAAACCTTCGTTGGGCAAGGTTCATAACAGGCGCAGTCAGCCTACCAGCTCGCCGGCGCCCACTTACCTGCAGGCTGTATCTTCCTGCGAACTTTGCAGCCTCCCGTGCCACATACGGTCGGCATGGCGTCTTCACCTTTCAGCCTTTCAGAGCGAGGGCATGAAGGATTATGACGTCTACCCCTCCTCCGTGAACGCCGATGGAAGGACCTCGATATAGGTATCACCACCAACTGTGCCTCCAGGTACTCAGCAAACCTTTAGGATTAAGCTCATGCACGCCGCTTCACGATATCTGCAAATAATTATCATGACGTCGTGGTGCCCTTGATGCCTACTCCGTCCTCTTATGCTTATAGTTCCGAAACTTACCATGGCCCCGCCGCCTCTCGGTGCCGTATACGCCGTGTAGTAGCGGAGAAACTATCCAAGTGTTCCGCTTCCTTTGCGGCACCGGTAAGGCTTTACCACAGATCAGAATCCAGCTCTATAGTCGCCACGGGAAGAACTGTGCATTATGGGGAACAATCTATCTGCAATCTGCAAGGCACCATCAACCCCAGATGGCGGCTTTAGCCTGTAATGATGCCGGGCCACGCGGGGCCCAGGTTTGCCGCATGCCACGGGACGACTGCCGAACCCGCCTGCAGCCTCTCAAGTCTGCGGCAAAGCAGCTCGCGAATGACGATTTCGGCCTTCGCCTGATACAGACAGGGTGATAGGGCCCGCATGTTGTGCCGCAAGTTATTTTCGTGACAGGATTGGAACTATGGGTTGGAAGTTGCGGCAGAGGCGGCGCATACACGGCAAAGCTATCGCGAATTTATCACGAACTTACTACGAACTTATCGCGAACTTACATCACGAACTTTCCCTCTCCACTGCAAGGTACATGACGTGAAAGGTTCTATCAAAAGATCGATGCCATTCCTCAATGCTCTAATCTTGGGTGTCTGCCTGTTATCAGAATCGGGTGGGTATACGTAGTTTCGCGGGCAATCCTCAAGGGCTATCTTTATTTTTGGAATCTCATCCCACGATCCTTCCAAGATCCAACGTTTGGTCACTCGCAGTAGCGTCAATGGTAGCCCCGGCTGCGGCGTGGGCCCCAACAATCCCATTAAAAGTTCGCCGGGCATCGGCAGATTCGGCCTACCGTCTGCGGTCTGAAAATGATGAGAATCGGCCCGTACAAAGGCGGTCTTGTGCGTTCGCGTTGCTATCAACATTGAACCTGTGCCGTTCACATGATTCTCAGTACTGATTACACAGGGACAGAAGGAGGTTGGTCTCGGCGCTGCCTGAGGTCATTTCGGCAAACCCACGACTATGCAGAACATCACGGAGGACGAGACCTATTCTGTCACTCTGTGTACAGCCGCCAGCGAGATGGAAAACTCGAGACCTTTCCGGCATCAAGCACAATCAAATCTCAGACACTGTCGAGAGCGAGCTGCCGATACGGGAAGGCCAAAGGCCCCGTCAATGGCATTGACTCGGCTCCACTCTCACGGAGTCCCAACTGCCGTATTGATCTCGACAAATGCGACGAACAGACAGGTAACGGCCGAATCACGCAATCCCCAACATCCATCATCCAGAATAGTGGCCCCGAACTCCGTTGAATTGACATTGATCGACAGATGTAGCCGAGGTGCCTAGATCGCAAACTCAACATTCAGCATTGCGATGATACCAGCGATGCCGATTCCGCTCAGGTTTACGATTAACGTTCAGTCGTCTCGCCACCATCTCGACGATGCAACCGAACTCTACCTAGGGATGGCTGACTGGAGTGATGGCGCCATGTACCAGACTACCGTCACGGGCAAGACTGCTATTGAACTGAGTATCTCACGGCCGCAACAAGCTGAGCTCAGCTTCTGATTACTACTGCGGCTGACACGCATCGCACCAACCCAACACATGCATAGGGTTGGTTGACTGCAGGTGTGTATCGCTCAGCACTGATGATTCCTCGTCAGATTCGGGACTACTGTGCGACCCAAACAGCCAAACAATGCGTGCGACTCGAAATGGATGTGAGGTGTAGCTTGAGGCCGATCAGACATTTGTGTGTGAAGCTGAGAGAACCAGCAAGAAACACAACGTTTCGTCACACAGTGTCTGTCTCCTCGATCATCTCGACTCGACTTGCCTCCCTTCGCCTCCCGTTTTCACATCCAGAAATCTGATCTTTCTTCTCTCTGCCAAGTTTCGGCCCGCGCAGCCCACGATCCGCGACATTCCAGCGTCGTCTCTCGCCATTGGATGGTCTATTATGACCGCCCAACTACTAGAGAAATCAGGGTCGCCTCCAACAGCTTCCGCTTGATCACCCGAAGTTCCCGTCGACGGCGAACCGTTGGGGCGTTACATTTTTCGCAATGGCTCGCCTTGTTCGGTTGTTCCCCGCACAGATCCGGCTTCTGCCGTCCCTGAATATTGTCCCTAGGTATCTCAGGGTCCGTCCAAGCTTCAAAGTTCAAACTACCCACCTGCAAGAAAAGGCACTGCCACCGCCGGAATAACTGGAAAGGCACATGGCAGAGAATTGCACAGAACGCCGAAAAAGCCAAATCCCTTCTGATCACATGCATGATCAAGGGCTGGAGGGTATTCCCTTTTGTGTCATTCTCCCTGGCCATCAATATAGCTACCTACCTACCCTGATAGGCAGCTAGCTAGCTGCCTTCAGCAGCAGTTCGTGTCTATCAAACCTGAGCCGGTTCATCGACGATCTTCCGCCAATCTCAACGGACGAATAGTCCGCTCCACTACTCACTAGCACAGATGCTGACCCCTGCCCAGAGATCTGATCACCCAGAGACTCGTGTTCAGGCCTGCTCGTGTTGCGAATCTTCGAACTATAGTAGTACAGTGCGAAGAGCAATTGATTCACCGCAATGGGTCAAACACGACCCTTCGTTTCAGGCAGTTTGCGCGGACGGAACCATTGTCTATCTCGGAGAGCGACGCTTATCGCATTCATTAGACGATGGACCGTCCCGCTGCCTTGAGTCCGCAGCCGAGCTGGGCTGTTCGACTGCGAATATACGGCGTACGGCGACGGCCTGGAATGGAAGAATTGGTGGCTTACTGCGTGTGCGAGCTGACGCATTGCTACGAGATAATCGCAGGATTAGAATGAGGAACCTCGTCATCCCTCACGTCAGCGTCAATAGGGGGCTTGGGGCTTGACCATCACGGTCACTGTCTTATCGATAACCGCGTTCTGACGATATTCCATTACGAGCCAATCGGACCGAACTATCGCGTATCACGTGTACAGCAAGCAAACCCCTATTCACGGCATAATAGCCGGATAGGGAAGCATTCGAGACCTCGCACAGCGAAGTACGCCGCTGACATTCTACACCTGTCCATTGATGACCAACATTCGTGCCTCCAGATCCATGCGCGGACGAAGACATCTATCTACACAGGGTCAAAGTTGCCCATCCTCCCCTTCACGATCCCGTCGACATCGCTCGTCACCCACCCGCCGTAGAAATCGCCCGGCTGCGGCTCGACCTTCTCGCCGTCGACGTAGCAGTCCCACGGCCCCGCGTAGAACGACAGATGGCCCTTGATGGCCTCGAAGGGCTTGGTCGGACTCTCGTACGACCAGATGCGGTTCGCGACCGTGGTGCTGCCGCTGCTGATCGAGTAGTACGTCGCGCTGCCCTTCCACTCGCAGTAGGATGACCGAGGGGTCTGCGTCAGGGGCACGCGCAGCGAGGAGGTCGGTAGGTAGTATGCTAGGCGCCCTGTCAACACTCATAATGTTTGAGTGTGAAGTTGCGACTGTTGCTACATACTTGGTGGATGATGGGTTTCCAAAACCCAGAATGCCTCCTTCGTGTCTGCGATCAACTGCCCGTTCCAGTTGATCTGTAAGTGCCGCGGAGTTCGCTCCAGTAGGGGCGGCCGTGGGAAGGACTGCACGTTCATCCCGACTTTGGTCGCCATCTTATATGATAATTGCCTCATGTAAAGGATGACTTTCAGGTCTATTCCTCAGTCGCCAAATACATTAGGATATCTGGTATTGATGAGAACCATTCATGAGCATCATCGACTCCTACAACTGTAAGAGTGAATGTGGCTGCTGTGGCTTGAATGCAGGCCAACAAAGGTTAAGTTGCGTCACTAGACTTCTTGGCGTTCGCCCCCACCATTTTGTCAAAGGCTGGCCGAGTCGGCTCGGAGCCTGACCCAGATCACGACTCGTGCCGCCGTATCCTACCTCCAGCTGCCAACGACCACGATCTTTACGACCTATCTACGACTGCCGACTACTTACACCTCGGAATACTGCGACAGCCTCAGCGAGTTCGCGCTTACCCACTACCAACGTACCACAAGATACCGACCGCTTTCCGATCTACCCCACCACCTACGAACCGCATCACTCCACCACCAAGATGTCGAACCGGCAGCAGGCCCGCGATATGCAAGTCGAGTTCCAAGCTCGCGTACGTCCGATGTCCAATATCCCATCACAGGTCCAACACCTCTAACACAGCTGCCGCAGTTCCAAGCGAAGCAGGCGCGCCGCGAAGCCCAGAAAGCCGCCAAGCAGGACCCCCAGCTGAAGAAGCAGATCCAGGACCTGCTGAAGAAGGGCGACACGGCCAAGGCGTACCAGAAGGCCAAGATGCTGCTGTCGAAGCAGTCGCTCGCGCAGCAGATGGACCAGATGGCCGACATGGCCGAGCTGAGCCTCGCCCAGATCCAGGCCAACAACAGCATGAACCGCATGACGCACATGATGGGCCAGTCGTCGCGGACGATGAACGCGGCGCAGAGGAACATGAACCCCGAACGAGTACGCCCCCCGCCCATTCCTACCCTATCCCAGCTAAGCGCTTCCCTTTGCCTGCCATTCCTACGACATCTCCGGCTAGATCAATGACTAACATGCGATGCCAACAACACAGACCCTCATGACGCTCGAGCAGTTCAAGCAGCAGAACGAAGAATACGCCGTGAACAACGGCATCTACCAGGACGCGATCCAGCAGACGACATCGCAGCAGGTGTCGGAGGACGCCGTACACGAGCTCCTCGGCAAGCTCGCCGACGACGCCGGCGTCCAGCTCAACACGGAGCTCAACGCCGCGCAGCCCAGCAAGGCCGACCCCGCCCCCGCGCAGACCAACGAGCCCACCGCCGAGGAGGAGGACGCGCTGCAGCAGCGGCTGCGGGCACTCAGGGCTTAGGACGCTCCTCCCGATGACGGCGACGAGTCCGGGGATGGGGGCGACGGCGACGGCGACGAGCGGGGAGCGCTGCGGAATGCAGATGGAGGGAGGAAGGAGAGGCCGCAGCTCGAGATGGCATGAAAGAGTGGCATTGGGCTCGGTCTGGGTATTGACATCACGACATATGGGAGGCGGCTAGTTTGGCGTTCCGGTTTCTGCATTTTGCATCGCTCGCCACACAAGGCAGCTGCAGGATTCTGTATTGCAGAGTCAGGTTTCTAGCATTTTTACTCTTTGAAAACTCTCACTCTTGTGACGGTGGTCGATGGGAAGCGTGATACGATTGTGTCCCTGCCGTAAAATACGACGCGGCTGGGAACATGATACTACTCCTATCCAGCTAAATGCTGTATCGCGAAGGCACAATGAGTCAGATTTGGAGTATACAAGTACGAACCGTTCACCCCAGTTGCATACAGGGGCAGAACAATCTGAAGACGTCACTTTGCGGCTCTGTCGCCGTTGCCATATTGCGAGCCCCTTTTGTTCAGACCCTACGCGCGAATATTCGTGAATCCGCAAAAACCTACGATACCTCACGACGCTATATCGCCCAGTTCCGCTCACCAGGACGAGCGCAGTTCGTGAATTCCGAAGTCAGCGTATGTGGCGATGCGGGCAGAGCTGCCTAGACGGTGTTGCCTGCAGCCCTTGCTGAAAGGTCTAAACCTTTTCTCCCTCGGTCGTCTCTCGGGTAATGAACCTCGCCTCTTCTTGAGTACCGGATATAATCACTGGTATAGTGATCGAGGTTGTGACACTAGCCAGTCGTATGCTGGCCTCGTCAAGCGCTGTCCTGAGGCCCCGTAGCGTCGTGGTTCCAGGCTCAAATGGTCAGCTGGAGAGCCTTGTGACCCTCTCGGTTTCTTATATGTGGCCGTCTATCATGATCTACTTGTGTATGGAGTACAATTCTGACAGCGAGATATTTGCCGGTTGGATTCTGGGCCCTGTTGGGGAGCATCCTAGAGCTCCTGCAACACCTTGTTGCCAAATATCGCCTGATCTGCGTATAAATCATCACCCCCATTGTAGTATCCAATGGATACTAAGATCGAGGGGTAAGGTTGGTCATTCTCGTGATGTTGCGCTCGAGATCGCATGCCCGTCAGGTCACGGGGTGAATGCGTTTCGTCTTGGTAACCGCTACATGGCATCTATCTGCGTCGGGGTGAGGAAATCTTCCGGACTTCTTCGGGGAGACCTCCTATCTCAAGATGACCAGCGACCTATCCAAAGACGTACCAGATACATGCTTGGTGTCCTTCTCTTTCTGCAGGTATTGGTACTCTATCATTGAGCGGATGTCGGATTCGGCGACGGACTTGATCTGCGTCAAGAACTTCTAGCTCTTTTTGTTGGATTGAGAAGCAGTCAAACTCCAGATGCTGGATTTCATGATGCAGAGTAGCCTTCAACTTTCGAAGCGTCGTTGACGTAGGAGGATCAAAGGTACCCGGATCCTTTATAAGACCCCCTCGGCTGTCGTTCCCCTGTGCGAGAACTGCGTCTATTACAGTGACTGTTACCGCCATAGCACTCTGAGTCCCACCAACAATGTCCTGCAAGAGGCAAGAGACTTCTGCGGTGATGCGCAGCTTCTTGGTTCGCTCTTCTGAAGCATTGCCGCGAGGATTCACACCCAATCGTCGGTTCTGCGCAAAGATTACCAGGCTCGCTGTCATCGCAAGCTGGTACTTCCTGGAACAGTCGTGTTCCTTGAAATCTCCTCTCCCACCAACGAACAGCGTGTCCGATCATAAAATCATGCTCATCGTCTATTGCATGACCTATGAATCTCAGGTCGTTTCTCGGTGATGTACAGGTGTTTTTTTGCCCGGGTAATTGTTGTTATGAATTCTCGCAGAACAGTGATGGGGGGTTGTCCGAGTGGTGCTAGATATTCTGCCAGGATGACAGATCCCCTCGCTGTGATGTCGTACTGGCGCTTGCTGAGCCTGGCCAGGTCGCCGTCTTCCGTAAAGTAGGCTGACTGTTTATATAGGTATATATACTCTTATCTGCAAGAGCACGAACACTCTATAATAGCGGCCTATAATGGGTCGACGTGTCAAACAGTGCGTGGGGGCTTTTAGATGGGTGAAAATGTATATTCTGGTGTAATCCGTATTGTTGTTGTATCTCTGTGAAAATCCTTCTGTGGGCTAAGTGGCCCAAAAATGCCCTATTGGCCTTGTTGGTGAAATGCCACCTCCCTGAACGCCACGGTGGCTTGCGCGCCATTCAACACGACGTGCTTCTGGCTGAATCTTTTGATCACCGGGAATATCACTGGGTAGGATTTCTTCCGTTTCAGGTACGCAGCCTAACTAATACAAGAACTCGTAGACTGTGATCACGGCCGGTATGCTACACCATCTCTGTCAGGTACAGTCTAGGTATGTAGGATAGCCCGCCAACCCATTAGAGATAAAAAAGACTCGAAGGAAAGTAAAAGAGAAAGCAACATAAATTAGGCTTGATCAAAAGGCAAAAATTAATATAACGTAAGTTTTACTAAGGCTAGAACTAACGGTAGCAAGCCAAAACAAATACCAGGTTCCTCTAGGTCAACAATCCGTAAACCGTCAACAAACAATTGAAGCCCATTTCAAGACTCACAGCTCCCCCAGAAGGCTCGCTACTGTTATTTTCTAATGCGCTCCTACCCGTACGCAGAGATTGCGAGCTCGGACCTCCTTGGTATATGATCATATGCCAGCACACTGGTATATGCCAGGCCGCCCACCACGGCCAGGCAGCAAGATCGGCTCGGCACACCGAATCCGGAGTGTCGGCCAAAAAATCCGCAACCGCAGATTAGTCTTTTGCGAGCCGTTGCATAAAAAGAGCCTCCGGTAATTCTTTCAGTTCTTCTGCGGGCTAGAAGAGGAGGTTTGTTACTATTGTGGCAATGTGTTCTAACACCTGCGTAGCAAGCCGAGAAGGCTCTGGCCGAAGCTCGGCTGTCCCGTCGCATTCGAGGCAACAGTCGGAGACATGACGGAAATGTATGGTGCATAAAGCATAAATTTCCTCTTACATACGCTTGTCGCAAACCCCTATCCACTTGCCTGCCGCCACACCATATTTTCCCAATTTCCCCGGGCACCGACATTTCAGCTATAGCCGTCTGTTGCAGCATCATGCGTGCCCTCGCAACATTCGCTTTCCTGCTGGCTGCGGCTACGACCGCCACCTGTCTGCTGGCGTCGGCCACGACCGGCGTCGCCAACGAGCCCATCGATCTACAAGGCAGGGCACCACCGGACTACCCCGAAGCCACCAGGCTGGAACGAGAGAAAAAGATACAAAAAAGCCATGTCCGCTCAGCTCAAGCAGTTGGTTCTGTGCCTGAAAAGCCAGTAGGTCGGCAGTAAGGTCGATGACTCCGACAAGTTGAAAGCGGCACTGGCTTCCTGCCGCAAGAGATTGGGGCTTGCAGAAAAAAGCCGGCCATGAGGGGTTACACGTATGTGATGGGCGGCCTTAGGAACCGCTTTCCGGCCGAATGGATGCTCGAGTACGTTAATGCATGGGATGGGACAGCTTGGATCTTGTGGAAGACCTACGTATGACGGCAGAGGAACTCAAGGCGTGGAGCGAGGCTGTCTCTGGGTACAGTTAGGGAGATGGTAATTTCGCAATATCAATACTTCACACTTACTACCGACGCGATCCCACGGACCACGACGGCAACGTCTTACTGGTAGTGGCTAGCAGGTATCTGGACTTTGGTCGGAATGGTAGCACACTGATTTATACTGGATTCCAAAAAGATATGCTGTCATGGTGGTCTGCTGTGGGTGACCATTGTTATGCGCAGGGAACATCTGAAGTACTCAATATGAAGAGGAAGCGTGTGACATGAGCGGGAGAAGCACCCCATACAATACGGCGTTACTTTATTAAGAAGTAGTCAGGTAGGTTGCTGCTGACTAAACGGAAAAGTGAGAGGGTTGAAACATTCCAGCGGCGCCCCCTATGCAATACCAGAACACCATGCAAGAAACCCCCAAGAAGACTACAGCCAAAAAACATATAGCCGTGGTTCACTATCGGTGATCACCACCACTCAAACTCTTCATTGCCATCAGGTATCTTAGTAGTCGTACAGGGATCTATCCATTGCTTGCATCATTTCCCAAATATCTAATTCTCCCGATCCTTCATCCTCGGGAGCCAGCGCGTCTCCGGTAGGTATGGAGTTGTCCCATTCGTTGGAGAGTGATGTTCCTTGAGAGAGAACGGATGGCGACAGGTCGCTGCTACCGCCTTGGACCTCCGCCGAAGTATCGTCGTTTCCATGCTCTTGGACGGGTTCGTCGGCATGTGAGGGATCTGCTTACAAGGAGGAGGGATGGCCCGTGGTGTTGAAGTCTGCCGGGCCTTAAACGTTTCCAGAGGCTGGCAAGTCGATGTCATAATAGTCGGGAGGATATTCAAGGCTTGCTTCCTCTTGGCTTGTTTCCCCGGCATGTGAGGGATCTGCTGACGGTGAGTAGGGATGGTCCGAGGGGTTGTCTGCCGGGCCTTGAACGGTTCCAGAGGCCGGCTGGGCGCCGCCACAAAATTGGAACACCCCGGAAGCATCGAAGGTGCCCTGCTGTTGGCCGGTTTCTAGGGTCGATTGGTTGCCGCCGCCGAACGAGACTCCTCCCGAAGATCCGTATGTACCCTGCTGCTGAGCGGTTCCGAAGGAGGCTGACTGGGAGCTGCCATCATACAGGAACCGGTCCAAAGTAAAGGGGTAGGGAGGTTGCTGTTGACCGGTTCCTAGGGTTTGCTCGTTGCTTCTGCAAGATGGCTGTCCGACGAAGGCATTGTCGATTCCCTGCTATGGAACACTTGAGCCTTGTCCCTGGCCACTGCTACCAAACGCAGAGCTACCCAAATTATTGCCATACCCAGTCGGCGCAGCACCCATCTCAGAGCCGTACCCCCCAGCTTGTTGAAACGGCTCTGGCGAGAAAGCACCAGTAAACCGGTGAGCGGAACCCAAGCCCTCTCCATAATTCTGGGATATAGGGGCGGGTGCCAATGATCCAGACGTGGGTGCCGAGGACTCGGGGGTGGGTACCAGTGATCCAGGGCCGGGTGCCGAGGGCCCAGAGGTGGGTGCCGATGACCTAGGCATATAGAGTTTGCATTTAACTCCTTTATAATAGCAGTATTCGCAAGGGACACCTCGTTCAAGAGCATTGCACCGCTTCTTATCAACCTGGCACCGTGTACAGGCGCGCGCAGCCTGCGGGGCACGTTGATATTTTGTCTTTATCTTTGCCGAGCCATCGGGCTCCGAGATAGAAGCCGGCCGCTTCCGAGACGGCGGGTTGTCGTCTTCCGGCGATTCAAGAGACGTTAAGTCGATTAAAGGCGTGCGTACCGATGACCCAGGCGTGTGTGCTAATAACCCCGGGGTGGGTAACGATGGTCCAGGGGTTGGTATCGACGGTCCAAAGGTCTGTGACGATGATCCAGGGGTCGGTATCGATGGTCCAGACCCGGACAGAACCAAGACGCAACATCGGCAGTGAAACTGACGGTTGAGCTTTTCATGAATGCCGCAGAGCTTGCACTTGATGACGGTCATGAGGGGGCCATAGTACCGCTGGTATTCCATCGTGATGGCGGACTCCGGAGGTGTTCGGGAATCTGTAACGTTATTGTGTTCGTAGTCGAGGTTGAGTGGCGATGGTGATGGAGTGGGAGCGTAAACATGGGCAGTTCAGACAACAGTGACAGAAGCTTGTGCTAGTCTATACCCAACATCACCCTCGTCGTAACTCCCTCAGGCTTGGGTAGGGCGGAGGGACTGAGAAGGCATGCATGATGCATGATAAGCAGCAGCCGGCCCCCATTCTACACACAGCAGCGCCCGCATCGCAGCTGCCTTGACCTTGGATGACGATAAGGGGAACGGGCTGGGGAGCATACCAATGAAAGTAGCAAGCAACGCAGGTACACTGAACTCTCATAAGTCTCCGTACACCAGCCGTCCAGCAAACCCGCACTGTGAATTTGTCGAGTCGGAACAAGCACACCGGAATAAGCAGTTGGATCTTTATTGACCATGCTTGACACTTATTCCGGGGCTGTTATTCCACGGATAACAAATACCCCCGAATGTTCAAGATCCTGAGAACCTTACGGCCCGGGGGGTTGGGCGGAGACTTATGAGGGTTCAGTGTACCTCACCTCCCCAATGAGTGTCTGCCGGAGGCCATCGAACACGCAACCACCACCCAGACAACCACAAGTACCCCAACAAGAGCACCATACGTTCCACCGCCGCTCCGACACCATCGTCACCCGACATGGTGCCCTGGTATAGCGGTATGAGACAGAAACTCTCCCAGGCGGGTTTTTCCTAGGTCTGTGGTTCCGAGTCCAGTGGGGGCCAGGCGGTAGGGTACACTGAAACCTCATAAGCCTCCGTAAGCCACCCATCCAGCAAACAACGGTAAATTTATCGAATTGGATAAGCACACTGGAATAAGCATTAAATGAGTGTATGGAACTTTCTCACTATTCCCACTGGTGATCTGGAGCCTTGCCAACATGCGCATACGGAGACTTATGAGAGCTGAGTGTATAGCGGTATGAGACAGGAACCAAGAGCCCAAGGGGGGTTTTTCGAAGGTCTACGATTTCGAGCCCAGAGCGTGCAAGGCGGTTAGGTTGATACCGGGCTAGCGGCAGCGGCAACCCAGGCAGCCCCTTCGTACATGCCAACGTACGTCGCCATTGTCGTAGTTGCCTTCCGTGCTAGGGCTGGCTGGCGGGTGAGTGAGGTGAGTGACATGTGGCAGCGACGGATGATGCAGACCATCCAATCCAACTAGCCTTTGCCTACCTACAGAGGCGCTGTGTACTGGATATGCTGGGTGGACTTCCTTCCCATGGGTTGGTCAACGTCTGATATTCGAAAGGTGAGGTGCACACGGAAGGAAAAGAGCAGGTCTGTCCCGTACGTCTAGACCCCCTTTCATGGGGTCCAGGTGGCTGACTAATCCAGACAGCCCACGTAAGTACCTACACTGATCCCACAGAAGTCTCCGATGCCGACCCCTTAATCAGGTGGCTGTTTCTCAAGGCAACTAGACGACTTCTGGAATAAGCGCCATGGAACAAGCAAAAAGGACATTAGATTTCTTTAAGAGTTGTAATATTTGCACCTTACTTAAACACCTTATTTGCACTTTACCTTAGTCAGCCACCCGCCAGCCACCTGACAGCGGGCCGACCACCAAGCTCACCACCAACATGTTGTTACGAACCAACGAACAGTGCGGCCTGATAGCAGGCCCAGAGGGGACGATTAGAAACAGGTTGACCAGAGAGTAGGGTGCTGATCAGTGGAGAGATCGGAGCAACAAAGCAACGGTACACAGATCACGTGACCAGCAGAACCTGGGTCACGTGACCAAGAATTTGGATCACTGGATCACCTTGGATCGCCGGCGATCCAGGGTGAGCCACCTAATCAGTGAGGGAGAGATTGGATATATAAGGACAGACATTTCCCAACCAGATAGATAGACAGTCTCTACCTCAGTGATTAATCTAAGCATCTTAGCCAACCCTAAGGTGGGAGAAATCTCCTGACGACTCGACTACACAGTGAACCCAGTTCAGACCAAGCCCCAGCATCTGAGTGTCTTCTAGTTGACAGAAGCCTCTATTGTCCTTTGTGTTGACTTACCTCAGAATATAAATCCTATAGAACCCTTTAGCCTTATAGGTTAGACGGCTCGTCACACATGTCCAGCCCAGCTGCCAGGCGCCAGGGACATCAAGTCTTTCTTAAAACATTAATAACGCCATGATTTTACTAGCTAATCAGATAATAATATTTGCTCCGCTTAAATTAGACTTTTTCTTGGTAATATTTTAACTTGCAGGTGTATTAAAAATATATTTATATAAGACGAATTATATTATCGTGATGTATTTTGGCCCTTGATAATTTTTATTTTATTTACGTCGTTACTCTTAAAATTGATTTAAAGTAATGATTATAAGCCGTGCGCGGTGTGATAGTATGGTCACCCGTATGGCCACCCATACCACCAGATCTCCAAGCCACTCACGTGCATTGGTCACATGAGCGGAGCGACTGTTGATCCGCCAGCCACTAGAGCAACGGATATTGGGGCGGGCACACAGATCATATCCCCCACCAGAATTGGCTGGTGGGCTCGATCTCTTCTTCCCTCCTCACCAAGAGATTTTCATACGTAGATAGTGTATACAGGGCTCTTACGTCCTATCCTATCTCCAGAACGTGACACGCGGTGTTATAACGTTATAGTTAAAGAAGCTTAAAAAGTTATTTTATTACATAGCTGTTTCCTTTTTTAAAATCCCTTATTAATAATAACAAAGCTGTAAAAATAGCTCTACTTGCTATTAATTAAGTATAATTAAATTAAAAGCTATAAATATAAAAAAATACCTTGGGTTAGGTATGTATTATATGTAGTAGTAAATATTATCGTCGATAAACCTTCTTTTGTAAGGGTTAGGGTAGCTGAATGCTAAAGCAAGGTGATAGCGGTGATTCTAAGAAGTAGGTGTATGAGGATACTTCAATCTATCCTGGTATGTTTGTGGGAATTAGGCGTTTTAAGGGGATGTGGTAGTGGAGCCTTAGGGCTCCGATCGGTGACCAGTCGGCCTGGCATGCCGAAGCAATACCCTTACATCTTTTTTCTTTTAAAAATTCTTTATTAGTGGCAGTAAAGCCGCGGAAGCGGCGTTGCTTGCTGCTAGCTGGGTATAGCTGGACAAACCAGTTATACGTAAACTTACATGCGAAATGCGCAAAGCGCGTTGAGAAGCTACGAAGTAGCTGGTGATTGTCACGGCGAGCATACTGAGGAGCTGGGACATGGCCTGCAGCAAGCAGCTATTACTCCTTGTGTAGAGTCTTTTATAGGCAGGTTGTCTTCTTCTTGATCAGTTAGGTCCTGATCATCAGCAGCAGCCTCTATCCATTGCTGTAACCTTTGAGGGGGACCTGGTGCCTTGGGATTTATGTCATGGAACTCTTTGACGCGTACAGCCGAGTTTCTAAAGTTAGCTGCTGGGTACCACATTGGGTCAGGATCATGACCTGTCCATTCAGCCTGGTACTCCAGCTTGCCCCGGGTTAGGCGGGAGGACAGAATCTTGTTAACTTCCCACTCAGGAACCCTATCCACATCGATGGGCGGTGGTGGAGGGATCACCTGACCTGGGACAGGGTCATTTGGTGACCGTACTAAGCGGCTTGCATTGATAACCCGATGAGCGTTTATCCCAGGGGGTAAGTCAATCTCAAAGGCGTTCTTATTGACCTGTTTGACAACCCGATATGGTCCCATATAGGGGTTGTCCAATCCATCATGTGGGCGGTCAGTACGCCATGCTCTTTTGCGTACATATACCATATCGTCTGGCTTCCAGTCAATTGGTCGTCGGGACTTGTCAGCCTGCTTCTTGTACTTTGCTTGTGCCTTAAAGAGGTTGGTTTTGGCCCATGCCACGGCCTGTGCCTAGCGTTCAGCAAACTCTTGAACATCTGAACGGCTTAGCCGCTCTATAATAGGCGTCTTTCTTGAGAGGGGACTGTGTTTATCCCAGTCAAATGTCATGATTGGAAGAAACCCCAGTTCAACCTCAGCTGGAAATAAGCCGGTACTTGTATGAGGTTATGTGGCATAGGCAAAATCCAGACAGGGCAGCAATTGAGACCAGTTATCCTGAAAGTGGCTTATAAAGGGTCGGAACTTGGTCTGGAGGAACTGGTTGATGATCTCTGTCTGACTATCCGTCTGAGGGTGCTCTGCAGTAGAGCGGCGTAGATCCATCCCTATGAGCTTGGCTAGTTCATCCAAAAAGGCAGCAATGAACTGGGGACCACGGTCTGAAGTCACAGTCCCAGGGGTGCCATAGACCCTCCAAGGTCCATTGAAGTATAAGGTGGCAAGGTCCTTGGCTGTACATGTCTTATATGTTGGAATAGACCA